GTTTTGTCCTCTGTAAAATGGGTATAATGATACATCTACTTCCCAGGGCTGGAGCTGGGGACACAGTATGAGGTCCCTATCAGCATTTAGCACAGTAATGGTTAGCTGCTATCATCTGGGGCCACAGAAGGTGGGCAGGTGTGGGGGACAGGTCGAGTGGGTGACACCTGGCTTCACTGTCCAGGGTATGAGGAAGTCGTCTGGATCCCCAAGGGCTCCATCCACATTTTCATCCAGGACCTGAACCTTTCCCTCAGTCACCTAGGTGAGCTGGAGGGCAGAGGCCGAGGGCTGGGGGTCAGCTTGGCTGAGATTCTGACCCCTGTGCTGTCTCTCAGCCCTAAAGGGAGACCAGGAGTCCCTGCTGCTGGAGGGGATCCCCGGAACCCCTCAGCCACACCGCCTGACCCTGGCTGGGACCACCTTTCAGCTGCGACCAGGGCCAAATCAAACGCAGAGCCTAGAAGCCCTGGGACCCATTAATGCATCTCTCATCGTCATGGTAATGGTGGAAGAAAAGTGCAGAGGACATCATCCCTGTGGGGACTCCAAGCCTGACTTCGCTTTGATGCATTCCCTCCCCATCCCAGGTGCTGACCCACACAGAGCTGCCTGCCCTCCGCTACCGATTCAACGCACCTATCATCCGTGATGCACTGCCCCCCTACTCCTGGCACTACGCCCCTTGGACCAAGTGCTCTGCCCAGTGTGCTGGAGGTGAGGTCGAGGTGGGGCTGGGTGGAGCACTAGTCACCTGACCTTCTGGATGGGGCCGGGCTGAGCAGGCCTCTCACCCACCCCCAGGCAGCCAGGTGCAGGCTGTGGAATGCCGCAATCAGCTGGACAGCTCAGCCGTGGCCCCCCATCATTGCAGTGCCCACAGCAAGCTCCCCAAGAGACAGCGCACCTGCAACACGGAGCCCTGTCCACCTGAGTGAGTAGCCACCAGTGTGCAGGATCACGGAGACAAGTACTGCAGTGGCCTTGCTGCTGAGATCAGAGGAGCGAGTGGTCCCAGGACTGGGATAACAGTGTTCCCCAAGGTCGGGTCTGGGCTCTCCTGGAATCAGAGTCAGTACTCCTAGTCAAGTGCAACTTAGCCAAGTCCTCTATGGGTGATGTGTCTTCCCAGCCCAGGGTGGACACAGGGAGATGATGTTCCAAATACAGGCTTCCAACTCAGTGCCCCTCTTCATGGCAATGCTGGTTGCTGGGCAGGAGGAGGATATGCTAGTCCCCCAAGGTCAGGGTGCCCTACTCTATACTCTCAGACCCCCGTGTCCCTCACAGCTGGGTTGTGGGAAACTGGTCACGCTGCAGCCGCAGCTGTGATGCGGGAGTGCGCAGCCGCTCTGTTGTGTGTCTGCGCCGCGTGTCGGCTGTGGAGGAGAAGACTCTGGATGATAACGCGTGCCCACAGCCACGCCCACCCGTCCTGGAGGCCTGCCATGGCCCCACCTGCCCACCGGAGTGGACCGCCCTTGACTGGTCGGAGGTCAGCCACCCCTCCCCACCTTTGCCCAAACCACTCACACTGTGCAGCGCAGGGCCGGACCTGGGTGCTGGGTACCTGCTGAGGTACCGTCCCACTGCCATAGTCACCAGCCCCTTTCGCTAGCCCTAATGGACCATCCAGGACTGGTCCAAGGTTAGCCAGCCCCTCCTTGCCATCCACTGGACCAGCAGCATCCTCCCCACTCCCTGTGCGTGTGGAGGCAGGAGGGGGGGATGGCCCACTGAGCATGAAACGCCCCCTTCCACTGCAGTGCACCCCCAGCTGTGGGCCAGGCCTCCGCCACCGAGTAGTCCTTTGCAAGAGTGCAGACCACCGCGCAACACTGCCCCCCGCACACTGCTTGCCTGCAGCCAAGCCTCCAACCACCATGCGCTGCAACTTGCGGCGCTGCCCCCCTCCCCGCTGGGTGGCAGGAGAGTGGGGCGAGGTAGGTGGGTGCCCCTGGAGGGTGGAAGCCAGGACAGGAGTGGCTGTGCAGTGGCTCATCCAAGATGCCCCACAGTGCTCCGTGCAGTGCGGCCTCGGGCAGCAGCAGCGCTCGGTGCACTGCTCCAGCCACACCGGCCAACCATCGCGGGAGTGCACCGAGGCCCTGAGGCCACCTACCACACAGCAGTGCGAGGCCAAGTGCGACAGCACACCCCCTGGGGACAGTCCTGAAGGTATGTGGGGCAGGAAGCCAAGGGGCACCAGGGGAGTCCTGTCCAAAGGAAGCCACGGGAGAGCGTGGGGGTCCTGACCATGGGCCAGAATCCTTCCCAACCACTGAATCCTTTTTGTCTCCTGCAGGCCAGTAGCACTGTCCCCTCCCTGCAGACATTTATTAAGTGCCACTGTGTGCCAAGCATTTTAGGCACCTGATCCTTTTGGGGGCCCGAAATTGGGTCACTCCCCTAGCCACCTCCATGACCTTCAACTTATTCACCTCCACCGATAGCATTATTTTCCTACTATTCTTTCTTTAAATCGGAGTTTTTGATGTCTTGGGCCACATGATTCTTTGTCGTGGGACTGTCCTGTGCATTGCAGGGTATCTAGCAGCATCCCTGACCGGTACCCCATGGACGCCTCTCCACTAGTGGGGACAGACATCGCCAGATATCCCCCTTGGGTGGGGGGCAAAGTCACATCCCCTAGAGGACCTCTGCTTTAAATATACCCTTTTTTTCCCTACTTAAGTAAACTTTTTCATAGCAATAGATTACTTACAGAGGCACAGGAACCAAACTGCCTGGGTTTATCTTCCACCTCTTGCCTTCGTTTTATCCTCTGTCAGGGGGTAAAAAATATAGTCACTTGAGAGCGTGCTGCATTAGAGGGGTGGAATAAAACAATCCACGTGAAGCTCTGGGGCCCCAAGACCTGATTCCCACCCTGCTCCCACCCTCTGCAGAGTGCAAAGATGTGAACAAAGTCGCCTACTGCCCCCTAGTGCTCAAATTTCAGTTCTGCAGCCGAGCCTACTTCCGCCAGATGTGCTGCAAAACCTGCCATGGCCGCTAGGGGGCGCGCGAACCCCTGAGGCACAACTGAGCGCCGGCTTGGGAGGGGGTCCGGGACGGGTTGCAGCTGGCCAGCCTGAAGGAGTGCGAGGGCAGGAGCTGGAAATGAAGGGTTGAGATGGAGCCGGAAGTTATTTATTGGAAACCTCTGCAGGGCCCCAGGCTGGAAAATAGAAGGGGGCTGACCATCCCCAGAGCCCCTCCTCAGCCCCTTTCCTGCTTCACAGTGAGACCCCCTCCAGGGTGGGTTGGAGGAGGGAAGAACTGTTTGACTTAGTGCCTGTTTCACCTACCCCTAGGGAGTCCCCCAAACTCCTCCATCTTTGATCGGAATACATACTGTGAAGAGTGGGGGTGGGGAAGGGAGTCAGCCAGTGCCCTGACTCCCAGCACTGCCCTATCCCTTCACTCTGGGCTGGAGGGGGTCTGAGTCTGCCATAGGGGAAAGGGGATTAGCACCACCTCCCTATACCCTTCCCCTGACCACACCAGTTACAGGGGTGGGTTAGAGGTGGGAAGACCACTCGGACCTTTGCCTGTCCCAAGGGACCCAAACATCCAGGCAGCCCCATCCTGGCACTGCAGGCCCTGCCCTGGGGCCCACACACCCCTTGCCAGGAAGTGCTACATCAATAAAGCTCTGTCTTGTGTAGATTTCCACACTGTGGAGTGTGTGTGTCCCTGCCCCAGAAGGGAAGCAGCCCCAGCAGCCGGAAGGGGTCTTTTACCAACTCAGCCTAGAGCTCAGTGACCTTAGGACAGATATACAGCTTCCTGCAGAGGCTCTAGAAGCCTCAGGGTCTGGCACCTGCCATCCTAGCCATCACACTCCTGGTCCCTCCACAAGCTCCAGTCACACCTGCCTTTGCTTGAGCTGTTTCCTCAACCAGCTGTGCCTTTCCCTTCCCTCTTCACCTGGTCAACTCCAACTTACCCTGCAGTCTCAGCACAAGGTTGCCTTCTCCCAGAAGCCTTCCCTTATGCCCCCAAAGGTGGAGGTCCTCCTACTGCCCTCTATTTACTCTGAGTGCCTGGAGGCATTTGCTGAGGTTTACAGGGGCCAAACCAATCCCGTGGCCCAGGTTCCTAGCAAGAGTCCCAGAGGGAAGGTGGTGCCTTCTCGTCTGTGGCCATGAAGGGGCAATGGGCCCTGGCACCCCCGAGACAGGATGCTGTGCAGCCCTGGACCACAAGGGTGACCTGGCCCTCCTGCCTCCCTGCCAGGCTCTCCCAGGGTCCAGGCTGCTGCCTCCACTACCTCCTTGCTCTGGCACAGTGAGGTGACATGCTCTCAGAACTGCCATTTCTTCAGATATCCAGAGGAGACCAGTACATCATGGTCTGCTGATCTCCTGGAGGTCAGGCCATGAGTCCACACTTGATCAATCCTGTGTGTATCAGATGCTGGGGGGGGGGGCGGGCAGCTTGTGCCCCCATTTTATGATGAGAAAATGGGGCAGCCCTGGAAGTAGCAGAGCTGGGAGTCATTAAATCCAGAGATGACCTGCAAAGTGTGGGACCTGGCAGGGGCCCCTAGCACCTGGTCCCTCCACGCCTGTTGCTTTCCCCTCACTCACACACCCACTTGCAAAGAGTGTCCTGAAGGAAGGACCAACTGAGGCTGCTCTGGAAGTAGGTGCTTGTTCAGGGATACTCAGAGAAGACACATGTCTGAAGTGGTTTTGTAGAGACCTGGGCAGCCCAAATGCTTCCTGGGGTCACCCTGAACAGAGTGGACAGTCCTGCAGCCAACTGACCTGCATGTTTCTTGCTGCAGTCCTGTCCCCAGGGAGTTGGAGAAGGGGACCTCTGGGGTCTGGCACAGCTGCCATCAATCCTTGACCTCTCCCTTCAGGCTCAGAGCCCCAGATAGCCAGCTCCCTCAGCTCTGCCAGCTGCAGGAGCTCTCTCCCCGCCCCCTGGGCCCAGCTTCCCTCCCCGGTAGCCACGGCCCCTCCCGCCAAAGGAAGTGAGAGGGGTCCGTTGTAAGAGGAACTAGGGCTGGGAGTCTGATGAAGGAGAAGGAACATGGCCATGCCTAAACCACCCCCCGGAGCCCTCTGAGCCTGCACCCCACCCACGGCCCATTCAGGCACCCCCAGAAATCCAGATACCACCCCCACCATGGTAAGTCCTTCAAGGGCATGGGCCCTGAAGTGCAGGGGTGGCGGGTACCAGCCGATTGCAGATGTCTAGAAGGCCACCATCAGAAAGTGGAGACATGGGGAGGCACACAGCGGTCCCTTTTGGGGTCCCTCTATGCAGGTGCCCCCAGCGTCCCTCACCAGGACCAAACTCCCATCTGATGGTGGACAGGATGCCAGAGTAATGATGGGGACCAAGAATGGAGCATAGCCCTGGCTGGGTGGCTCAGTTGGTTGGGGCATTGCCCTTACACCAAAAGTTTGCCAGTAGGATCCCTGGTTAGGGCACATGGATACCTGGGTTGCAGGTGCACATGGGAGCCAAGTGATTGATGTTTCTCTCTCACATTGAAGTTTCTCTCTCTCCCTTCCTCTCTAAAATCAATGAACATATCCTTGAGTGAGGATTTTTTTTAAATGGAGCAGTAACTGAAGGACAGAAGGTGGCCCTGAGGGATCGCACAGTGTCTGCAAGGACAGGGACATAACCCTTCCTTAGGACATAGGAAACCTGGTTTCTAGCTCAGCCTGGTCCCTTATCTCCCCATGCGGTCTCGGGCCAGTGACTTCCCCTCTCTGGACCTCAGTTCCCACATATGTTGTATTTGGAAGTCAATCAAGATGTAGAAGGTATTTTGGGGACCTCTCAGTTGGAACTTTAGAGGGTCTGTGGGTTCAGCCACTCTTGAGTCCACACCCAGGAAAGGAAGCTGTGTCAAGTGGGGGGGGGGGTGATGGTGTAGTGACAGTGTGCCCGTGTAGGTGACAGGAGGTCTGGCTGTGGCAATCACAGAAGAAGATGGCAAGTCACCGGGCTCACACCACCACTAGTACCCTTCCCTGCCAGACGGTGGGGAAACACTGGCCACAGGCGTCACTGTCTGGTGAGGCTGGGGTGTGACAATGCCTGTGGTGACAGAGTGGGGGCCTGTCACGGTCATGGACTTAAACCTAATAACATCATAACACACTAAAAGAGCGCCTGGACTGGTGACAAAAGTCACCCCCACAGGTCCATGCATCTGCAACCACTTCGGGTTTCATTTTTTGTCATTCTGTCGCTGAAAGCGTGTGGCCGGAACAGTCACAGAATTCATTGTGACAACTGGGGGCTTCTTGCTGTTGCAGCAAACAGCTGTCCAAGGCGGAGGCAGGAAAGCAGACCAAGAGGCAAGATAGTGTTTGTCTTAGAACACCTTGTTTCTGAAAGCTAATGACAAACTGGGTGTCATTAGCCAAGGAATATGTGCATAAATCATAACTAAGCCATCAGCTAGAGCTCTGGGCTTGGGGAAGAAGTTCTAAGAAAAAGCCAAGCCAGGAAGACCCAGGAGCTTAAGTGGGCAGGCTTTGATCAAAAGAACACAGGAAATGATTTTCTGCTTGAGAGAAAAGCAACCCCTCCCAAGGAAGCTGTGTGAAAAATGCTTAGTCAGTGTGTGCTTGGCTGCTGGGGTCTGGGAGGGAGAAACTTACCCCAGAGGACCACGGACAAAAATAAGAGGGGAAGCCACCCATGAGGTCAATACCTCTGACATCTGTCTGGAGGGGTGGTGGTGCCAAGGAAAGTGTTGAAAGTTTAGGAAGTTTAGGAACAATGTTCACAAAGTGCTTCACAAAGACGGAACGTGCACCATCACCACCACAGAAGGCAACGCTTACTCAGGGCTAGAGTCGGCCACGGCTGTGGGCAGAAGCCACATTCTCCTTGTGGGAGTGGAGTTGATGTTGAAAGACAGCCGTTGGGTTCCCGGTGCCAGTGGTGGCGATGAGGCTGCTGCTGGTCGCTGCAGGCCAGTGGTCTGGTGGTTCTGTGGGCATGCGGGCAGTGCAGATGGCTGTTTGGGTGCCAGCTAGTGGGAAACACTGGTGGATGCTTTCGGCTGGAGGCCGGATCCATGGAATAATGGCAGTTGGTGGTCATTGTTGTTCAGAGTTGGGTGACCTTGGTAGTGTTTGTTTGCTGTTGAGCATTCAGAGTTGGGGGTGGCAATCCCAGGAGCCATGGCAAGGCATGGCGGGTTTTTGAACGGGTAGTGTCAATTGCTGCTTCTGTGAAAGCTGGCTGTGTGTGGCTGCTGAAGGCTAGTGTTGTGGTCCTGACGGCAGCTGTTGACGGTAGTTAGTTACGCTGGGTTGCTGGTGCTGGTGAGGACGGGTAGTGTTGGTGGAGTGTGATGGGCGGACACTGGCGGCAGAATCAGCCACTGTTTCTGTTTGATGTTGGCTGATGGTGTTGTCACTGAGGTTATTAGCAGTGTGTTTGACTTTGGTGGTGGAGGATGGGAACAAAGGATGCAATTTTTTGACCTTGGATGGTGATGGTGGTGACATGAAGGTGATGGTGGTGGTTTTTAAAGTACAGATACAAAGCCAAGAGACCAGTGGTGTGGCTGCTAGATCCAGGACCAGTGGCCAGGGGAAGGCTGGGGGCTGAGAGGGAATTAGGAGGAAGGACTCCAGAAGGACAAGGGTCCCCACCCATTGGAGAATGGCCTCTGGCTAGGACAAAAGGGAGGGGGAGACCCTGGGAGCCTTTAGAGATGAGAATGATGTCTGCACAGTGTACAAAGCAGGGTGTGGCCCCAGAACTCCACTGACCTGGGGCAGGGCAGGACCAAAGCATAGGGCACACCTGGGGTCATGGCGAGGCCAGAGGCCAGGGGCTGTCTTCAGCAGCCACACCAGCTTCACACCTCCTCCTTGGCTGGCAACCACAGTTTGCAGGACCCTAGCAAGGAAGGAAGTGGCTGTTTTGTTGCTCTCTCCAGTCTAGGGCTCTGCTCATCACCACCCAAGGGAGGCCAGAGCAGTTGGGGCAAGTTGCAAAATCTCTCTCATCCAGCCCTTCCTCCTGGCTCCACGCCCTACGTCTGAGGACCAACCCAGCTGCCACTGTGGCTGGCAACGGTGGGGAAGCTAGCATTTTCTCCTTGTTGAATCTGAGGCAGGGAGATTAGGCCAGCTGTTGTATAACCCAAAAGTGCATAGGATTTCAACTCAGTCACCCCCCAAAGTCACACTTTTAACAGCCACCTTGACCTACAACCTCCTCTTACCAATGAGAGGCCACCCAGGAGGGTATGCAGACCCCCAGAAGCCCGGGGCCACCCATCCTGGCCCCACTTGGACCTGGACTCTCTGTTCTGCTGAAGCTAGGATCCTGGTATCCCACATTCACCCAAGGCCTTCCTGGCCCATGGCTCCTGTGGCCACCACCGACTCCGCCTGGGACGTTCATGTTGTAAGACCTGCCTTCCCCAGGAAGCCCTTACTGATCACCCCATCTCTCCTTACTACCAACTGGTGGGGACCCACAGTCTCCCTTGGGCAACTCACTTTTCCTGCTTGGGACACTCTGAGTTCCCCTAGGCCTAGTCCCACCTACCTGCACGCACACACAGCGGGGGCTCAGGGACCGTAACCCCTGCAGGGCTCCCTTGCCCAGCCCTGCAGGAGCCCTCCTCTGGTCACAAACAGCCCCACCCCCACACACCACTCTTCAGTCAAGGTCACCTCTCTAAAGAGCTGAAATAAGAAGCTACCTTCTCCTTTCTACTCCGGCCACCTCCAGCCCTGTCTTTCACAAGAGCCCCAGCGGGTTGAGTCATGCTTGGCTTATGGTCAACTGTGACCACAACCTCTTTGTTGCACCCCCACATTCCAAAGAAGGGACTAGGAACAAACAGTTTCAATTTGACCCATGGAGACTTGAGGGCCTCAGAGAGAGGGAAACCCATGCAGGGGGCAGTCTCATCCCTATGGGACCCCATTCATTCAGCCAGTCATTCCATAAGTATCTGTTGCCAAAAACAGACACATTCACTTCATGCTCAGGGGGGCCCTGGCTGCTCTTCCTGAGGTGCCCAGTGCCTCTGTTCTCTGTGGTAGCTCATTGGCTCCTCTCAGTGAACCCATGCCGGAAGTTTATTATGGAATTCATTTTACATATGGGGAACCTGAGACTTGGAGAAGTCAGTGGCCTCTTGGAGTCACCTGTCAAGCCAGGCTTCACATCCAACTGGCCCTATGCCAAAAAGTCTTGAGTATCCTCCCACCCACTGTGCCCACTTGAGCAAAACCCTCTCTCCCTCTACCACTCACAGCCCATGTGTCTTGTGATTACATGGAGCCAGGAGTGGATATGGGGGTCCAGGTGTCTGATGGCAGGGGCTGAAAGAGGCCAAGGGCCACTCAGCCAAGTGGAGGAAGTAGGGAGGGACAGGAAGAGGAACCAAGTCTTCAGAGCCAGGAGAGGTAGCCAGACACAGCCAGCCCTGCAGACTCTGACCTCTGAGAAAGGAAGTGGCCTTAAGGGTCAGCTCTGCCTGAGGGGCCCAAGAGCCTGGAAACCAGGCTGACCCCAAAGGGGAAACCCTAGACAGGACCAATCTTGCCCCTGCCTGATCTTCATCTTGCCCAAAGGACCCACCCCACCACCTCTGACCCAGACCAGGCTAGGGAACAAAAGGCCTCACTCATCCTCACCCAGGTCCTCCCTTCCTGCTGTATAACCTTGGGGGGTATGCCTGACCTTTCTGGGCCATGGTTTTCTCTTCCTCAAAGTAGACGTAATCATATGTCCTCTCAACCTCAGCATATGTTGAAAAAATTAAATGAGGTAATTTAGGGAAAACCCTTAACCAGAGTCTGACACAGAATAAGTGCCCCATGGGGTGTTAATTTTCATTGCTATCATTGTCATCAGATACCATAGTTACCATCCAAGGCCCCACCTCTTGAGGTCTTCAGAGGGAGAATCCACTTCCTGTCCCCCAGTAGCTCCTACCCACCTGCACCCACACCCACTGCCACTCCTGCCCCACCAGGACCACCAACGCACTCTGGTCTCCTCATGTTACAAACAGGAGACATGTTCCCCTGGCCCCGTCTCTCCCCATAGCCCCTTTCCCTCGTCCCCTTCTCAGCAAAGTACCCTCCACTCCTCCCAGCCTCCCAACCTGACTGATGATTCTGAGGTCACCAATGCTCTCCATGGGGTCCCTCTCAGTCTCCAGGGAGCAAGAATGCTCTTCAGTAGCTTGTGGTGCCATCATCGGCTCCCTACTTCTCCCAACCAGCTCTTGTCACCTGCAGGCCACCCCATCCTGACAGGCTCCCCAAAGCCTTAAAATGAAATTCACAGTAAGACACATTGACTGCCATTGTTTCGGAAGTCATTACAGTGATCCCCTGGAATACCCTGGAGAAAGTCACTTCTAGTGAACCGTGTGCATAGAGATGAACTGCTCAGGTCAGTGGACCACCAAGGCCCGCAGGAGCCACCAGGGGCTAGCACCCACCCACAGGTATCCTCACACACTGACAGCCCCACCACGAGTAGCAGGAGCTTCCAGATGCTGAACAATTCTTAGTAAATGCTGAACAAATTCCAAAAAAAAATCATCAGAACAAAATAAAATCTGAAAACAAAAGATTTTCTGTTTATAGGTAAAATCAAATTTGGTTCTAGGTTCCAAGGACTGATCATAAACAGGTGTGTCACTTACATGGATACCTGCCAGGTGGGTGAAGAGCTGTAGGCAGGGTGATAATCTGAATGTAAATCTGGCACTTGCAGCTCCCTTAAAACACCAGGTATGTCTCTATCCCTGTGACAACCAAAAATGCTCTTGCCCTTCCTCGTGTCCCCAGAAGCAATATGGCCCTGCTGAGAGGTCTCCAAGCCACAGACAATCAAGTCCAAGTTGCTTTGCTTGGCATGAAAGGCTCTTCAGGACCTTGCTCTGGATGGCCCCCTCCATTCATTCATGGTCTCCCTTCTTCTGTCACTCATTCATTCAAATGAGCCCTGACACCTTGTTGAGCCAGGCATGGCAGGAGCCCCTCATCTCAGGAGCTCGCAAACCAGATAATGAGGCTAATATGGGGAGTGTCCAAAACATGGATGGGGCAATGGTGAAGGAAGCCCAGTAGGCTGTGGGAGTCCAGAGGGAACACCTGACCGTCCTGGGTTCAAGAAATTCTTGGAAGAGGCATCCCCTGAACCAAGTCTTAAAGGACAAATGGCCATTCACCGGGCAGAAAGAGTATTGTGAGCAGAGGGCTCAATATCTGTAAAGGCTTAGAGGCAATTTAGTAAAGAACTGAAAGTTCTTCCCAAAGCCCTAGCTGGTGTGGCACAGTTGGTTGGAGTGTCTCGCATAACTGAGAGGTTGTGGGTTCAATCTCTGGTCTGGGCATGTGCAAGAGGCAACCAACCAATTGATGTTTTTCTCTCTCTAAAAGCAATCCTCAGGTAAAGACAAAAAAATAATTTTTTTTAAAAAAGAGTTCTCTCCAACTATCTTAATTACTGGCACATAGAAGGTGCTTGAGAATGCTTTGCAGAGTGGGTGAGTGGGACGGTGACAGAAGCCGCAGACAGGAGGAAAGCCCTGAGAGAGATCAGACCTGCCATGTGGGAGCGACTTCGCGAGTCCCCCCAGTGCCACGGACACGAATGAATGAGTATGACCGAGACATGCTGGATCTGTTTGGGGAAGGGGAGTAGATTGTGGACAGTTTCTTAGGGGAGACAAGGCCAGCAGCAGCCAGTTTCTCCGAGGAGAAAAAGGCCCCGAGCTCCCTCTTCCATAGCCTTTTATTGGGTTGTAATACACAGGAATACAGGGCAGCAAAAGAGATCTGAGGGCTTCAGAGTCTGAGTCAGTGTCTGTCAGGAAGAGAGTTGCAGAAACTCTGAGAGACATACTCATTTCCTCTCAGACCCTTATCATATGAATGAAAGTACTCTTAGCAGAGCAGATTTCACAGGTTTATCAGCAAGTCTTTGTGGTGCCAGATTTTTACCCAGGACACACTCTAACAAAGCAAGGAGCTGCACCTCTCCGCATCAGGTATTCAGGCTTAAGGGTATTAGAGCCAGGAAACGCTTCTCCCAGAGAACATGGGGACTTGGGCTTTGTCAAAGTTGGGGGGGGAGGTGAGAGTCCATTGCTCTTTGTTAAAGCCCCCCAAGTCTTGCCATGAAGGCCTCCCAAGTGATCAAGTCTGGCTTAGGTTGTCCCCCGCTGTGAGGGGTCTTACCCGTCATTGACTTCCGACCAAGCTTAGGGGGCAAGGAGAAGAAACTGAGGCAGCCTTTGCTACCAGAGACAGGCTTTGTCTCCTGCAGCTGGCATTCCAAAGGTCATCTTTCACCCTTAGCTACAAGGAGTAGAGAAACAATTCCTAAAACTAGGCAGAGTGGTCTACAACACTGCCAGATGAGAAACCTACTCTGACTGCCCAGGCTGGGAGACATTTGAGGAGTTCGAGCCCCACACTCCCTGCCCCCCACAGTCTGTCCCTAACTCAGTCACACTTCTGCAGCACCACTGGGTAGTTCACTCTGTGGTGCACCCCTTCCTACTCAGCATCCAAACCCTTCTCAACTTTCAATCCCAGCACAAACACCCCGTGGGTCCCAGCCACTTGTGGGTGTTGATGTAAGAGCCTGGGCTTTGCTGTCAGATGGATCCAGACTTAAACCCCACACCCTGGGAACCAGTTTAGCTATTTCCTGAGTCAAGTGTCAAGCCACTTACTTCCCAAGCCTCAGTTCCCTCCCTGCCTACACCCCACTTTGTTGCTATAAAGATTGCTGCTAATATTGGTGACACCCCCTGCCCAGCATCAGGCACATAGTAGGTCCTTAGTGAATGTTTGTTCTGTCACATGCTCTCTGCCTGGGTGCATCCTCACAATCACTAGGAAGAGTATCAGCTGCCTATCCCACATCGCTCCCCAGAGCAATTCATCCTCACATCAGCCCTGGGAAGTGAGTCGTTTCTTCCATTTTACAGATCAGGCCACGGAGGCCCACGGCAGTGTTGGTCCACCTAGCCAGGATCAGAACCTAGACCTGCCCACACCAGAAGCTGGATGTGTTTAACATCTGTGGACATTCCTTGACAAACTTCCTCTGGCTATCAGTGTGTCCACATGCTGACCATGTACCTCTCCTGCTCAGGAACTTTCTGTAGCTCCCCAGTACCCCCAGGGGAGGCTGGCTTCTCACTCACCTCTGCCCTACAGCTGCCCACACTGGCCCGCCTGCTCGACGCCTGCTGGCGTTCCCTCTGCCTGGCCTGTTTCTGTTCTCTGGAATCTGTCCCGCAAATGATGGCCACCTTTGAAGACGTGACTTTATTTCCCTGCATCCCTTGCCCTTGGGGGTCTTCCTCTGAAGTGGGGTTTCTTTCTTGACCCTGTCCCCTTATTCATTCAATATGTCCCCCTTGCTGGGGCAGAGAAAGGACTCGGTCCCTCCAGGGGCTCCTGGTCTGGGGAAAGAGGCTCCCTGGAAGGGAACGTGTTAGCTGAGCATGAGCAGCCATGACCACTCTCCCAACTCTCAGACTTTCCCATGGCAGGGGTGTTCTGACCAGAGGCAGAGTGGGCTGGGTGCGCCAATGTGTTTAAGTGGGGCTAAAAGCAGAAAACATTCCAGGAAGGTTTCCTGGAGGAGGAGCTTTGTGGAGGAACCTGTGTCTGAGTCTCCTCCTTGAGCCCTAAGGAGGGTGTCAACTGTCGAACACCTGAGGAAGGAAGGAAGAAGGGAAAGTGGGAGCATGGGAAGGTGCCGGAGCCAGCACAGGGCAAGGTGGAGGTTCTCTGAGGATGGAGAACACTGGGCAGGGGCAGCAGGAAGGCTATGGAAGCTTAGAATGAGGGTCATGGCATGGCACAGGGAGTAGAGGTCACGGCTGAGTGTGTGGCTCCGAGAGGATCTCAGAGGACCAGGCTAGCATGCATGACCATGAGAGAAGAGCAGGGGAGTGGGAGGAAGGAGACCATCTCCAGGTGGGAGGGGTGGACAGCAGGTCACACGCCTCAGAGGGGTCAAGGACTCCTGCTCAAGGGCTTGAGCATGAGAAGGGGGTAGGGGAGTGAAGAGTGGGGAGGCAGGAAGAGAAGCAGCAAGCTGTCTGGCCTCCTCCTGGGGCCAGGGAGCCCGGACTGGACCTTGCCCACCTCTCTCTCCTGCCTTGGGGGTGGAGGTGAGCCAGGCCAGGGTGCTGAGGCTCTGCCCCCTTCCCCAAGTGCTTGCTTCCCAGGGCCCACGCCCACCACCCTGCTCCCACCCCCAGGGCAGTAAGGAGCGCTTCCACTGGCAGAGCCACAATGTGAAACAGAGCGGTGTGGACGACATGGTGCTGCTGCCTCAGATCACCGAGGACTCCATCGTGGGCAACCTCCGAAAGCGTTTCATGGATGACTACATCTTCGTACCCTGGGCCAGGGGCAGGGCAGGCCAATGAAGGGCCAAGGGACAGGAGGAGAGCTGGCCGAGGGACAGAGGGGTAGTGGGGGGGTGAATGCTGGGAAGGGTAGCGGAGGAACTCGGGAACAGAAGGGACACTCAGATGCCTGAGCAGATGAATGGAGGGGGGTAGGGCAGCAAGAGAATGGGGTGATAGCACAGGGGACAGATGGAGTGACAGAAGTGCTCTGCTGGAGGGTGGTTGTGCCCCCCCACTTCTTCCTCTAGCCCTGGGGTAGTTCAGCCACAATATACCCATTTCCCCCATTCTGGACCTTATCCTGGTTTTTCCTAAGAGACCCAGGACACATCTGAGCATCTCCATCTCTCCCTCTTAGCAATGGGGTTCCAGGAGGCCTCAGGGCAGGAGACATCAGGCTGAGGGGACAGGGCACATGAGGGACAAAGCATGCCAGAACACTGCATGGCCCTTAACCACCCTCCAGACCTACATTGGCTCCGTGCTCATCTCTGTAAATCCCTTCAAGCAGATGCCCTACTTCACGGACCGTGAGATCGAGCTCTACCAGGGCGCAGTGAGCATGGGGCTGGGAGGGAGGCGTGGTCCCCAGGATCCTGGCCCCTAGCCCTGGGCTGAGACCTGCCCTACCCGGCAGGCCCAGTATGAGAATCCCCCGCACATCTACGCCCTCACCGACAACATGTACCGGAACATGCTCATCGACTGCGAGAACCAGTGCGTCATCATCAGGTAGGACGGGGCCTCAGACCCTCCTGCCCAGGTCCCATCCAAACAGCATCACTGCCCCGGGTATTGACTTGGAACCCTGATCCAGACAGAGGCCTCTCTGTCCCCAGCCGGCTTTCCTTTCCTGGTTACCTTCTGACCCGTGATATATTTTATTTATTCATTCTGTTATTGTCCATCTGTCCTCTAAATGTCAGCTCCAGCAGGGCAGGGACTTGTATCAGTCTCGTTCACTATTGTATCCCCAGTGCCTGGACTAGTCCCTCGCACACAGTAGGAACAGAAGGCAGGAAGGAAGGAAGGGAGGAAGGGAAGGAGGGAGGGAGGGAGGGAGGAATGATCGATCAGGGACTAAAAAGGACACTTACCCTTTCTTCTACCCTTGGCCACTGATCCCTGCTTGCCTCCGCCATTCGCAGTGGAGAAAGTGGAGCCGGAAAGACGGTGGCTGCCAAATACATCATGGGCTATATCTCCAAGGTGTCTGGTGGGGGCGAGAAGGTCCAGGTGAGACAAACAGAAAGAAGGCCACGTTACCTCCCACTCCGCGGCGTTTTATCCTCCACATGTGCCTCAGCCTGACCTCTCCCTCCAACCCCCCTGCCACCCCCAGCACGTGAAGGACATCATCCTGCAATCAAACCCACTGCTCGAGGCCTTCGGCAACGCCAAGACCGTGCGCAACAACAATTCCAGTCGTTTTGTGAGTCCGCAGCCCTGCTTTGGGTGCAACCACACCCTACACACACGCACACACGCACGCACGCACGCACACACGCACACACACCCCACCCTCCTCTACCTTCATGCCCAAAATTACAGGAAATACCTGCTCCTGGACGGGACTCTCACTGCCCGCTCACTGTGCATTAAAACAGAGTTGCTGTCACAGACCAGGACAGGTTTGTGTCACCTTCTGAAATGCTCCCCTGGCTGCAACTATGCCGTGTGTGCCCCCACAGTCATGTTTCGGTCCTATTCAGTCCTTCTTTCCTCCCTACCCTCAAGAAATGATTTTTAGGTTCCTTCTTTGTGTCAGGTGCTATGCTGAGTCCAATGGAGACAGACTAGGTAACCAGATCCAGGTTTAGGGTCTGGTTCTGTCACTATTTAGACATGTGGCTTGGACAAAGAAACAATATAACATCTTGAGTCTCCTCTGTTTTCTTCTCCATAATGTGGGATGATATTAAAATCTACCTCATAGACCTCAACACTCAGTACAATACCTGCACATAGAAATGACTTAGTAAATTCCATATGCTAATAAGAATTTTATTTCCCAAAACATTATTAGCTATATTTTATTTTCTAATACATATTTATAATACAATTATATTTAAGTATTTTCCCCAATACTTTATTATTAAAATTTCAAATACACACAGAACATGGAAGAATAAAGTGAACATCTGTATGCTCCTCTCCCAGATTCTTTTTTAAAATATTTTTATTGATTATGCTATTATAGTTTTCCCAATTTTTCCCCCTCTATCCCCCCTCTGCCCTGCCCCCCAACCTGCCAGCATTCCCCCCCCTTGGTTCATGTCCATGAGTTGTACACATAAATTTTTTGAGTTCTCTGTTTCCCATGCCATTTTTCATCTCTCCTTGTCTACCTGATGCCTACTAACCATGCTTCTTCTTCCCTGTACCTTTTCCCCATTATTCCTCCCCTCTCCCCACTGAAATCCCTCCATGTGATATCCATTTCTCTGATTCTGTTCCTGTTCTGGTTGTTTGCTTAGTTTTTGTTTGTTTGTTTGTTTGTTTGTTTTAACATGGGAGAGCTGTTTGTTTTTTAATATTTTATTTACTTATCTTTAGAGGGGAAGGGAAGGAGAGAGGGAGAAAAATATCAATGTACGGTTACCTCTTGTGCGTCCCCTGATGGGAACTGGCCTGCACTGTGCACTGACTGGGAATTGAACCTCAATCCTTTGGTTCGCAGGCCCACGCTCAATCCACTGAGCTACACCAGCCAGGGCTGTTTGCTTAATTTTTGTTTTCATTATTTTTATTTTATTTTAGGTTCATTTGTTGATAGTTGTGAGTTTGTTGTCATTTTACTGTTTATATTTTTTGTCTTCTTTTTCTTAGGTAAGTCCCTTTAACGTTTCATAAAATAAGGGCTTGGTGATGAGGAACTTCTTTAACTTGACCTTATCTGGGAAGCACTTTACCTGCCCTCCCATTCTAAGTAAAAGCTTCGCCGGATAGAGCAATCTTAGATGTAGGTCCTTGCCTTTCATGACTTGGAATACTTCTTTCCAGCCCCTTCTTGCCTGCAAGTTTTCTTTTGAGAAATCAGCTGATAGCCTTTGTAGGTAACTCTCTCCTTTCTCCTTGCTTCTTTTAGGATTCCCTCTTTATATTTAATCTTGGGTAACTTAGTGACAATGTGTCTTGGTATGTTCCTCTCTGGGTTCAATTTCTTTGGGACTCTCTGGGCTTCCTAGACTTCCTGGAAGTCTATTTTCTTTGCCAAATTGGGGAAGTTTTCCTTCATCATTTGTTCAAATAAATTTTCAGTTTCTTGCTGTTGTTCTACTTCTGGCACCCCTATAATTCAGATATTGGAACATTTCATGTTGTCCCAGAGAGGGACAACCCTCTCTGAAGAAATTGTAACAATTTCTTCACTTTTCAAATTCTTGTTTCTTCATTTTGTTTTGGATGGATGTTTATTTTTTTTCCCTTTTGTTCCAAATCGTTGCTTTGAGTCCTGGTTTCCTTCCTGTCACTGTTGGTTCCATGAACATTCTGCTTTATTTCACTTTGGGTATCATTTTCATATTTCTTTTTTTTTTCATTTTTACATTTTATTTTTGACCAAGCTCAATCAGATCCATGAGCATGTTGATTACCAGGGCTTTAAATTCTCCATCAAATAGGTTGGCCATCTCCTCCTCACTTAGCTCTCTTTCTGGGGCTTTACTCTGTTCTTTCATTTGGGCCCTGTTTCTTTGTCTTGGCCCAGCTGATAGGTTGTAAGGAGGCGGGGCTTGAGGTATTCACTGAGGCAAGGTGACCCTCTTTGCTGCGTTATTGGTTGGGGAGGGGCCAGATGGAACAGTGTGGCTACCTGCTCATCTCTATCACCCTTTTCAACAGACTCTCCTGTGAGACTGGGAGCTTCTACCGCCACAACCCGGCAGCCCACAGCCACCTCTGAGTCCCTATAAACCCACCCCTCCCTGCAGCCCACCAGCTCAGCAGCCAGCCCCGCCCCCAAGGTCTGCTGGGTCCTGGTGGTTTTTCCGCGTCTTTGGACACTGTCCACCTACCAGTCTGGTTGTACTGGTTGACTTCAATTCCTTTTTTGTTGGAGTTCCACGCAGTTTGATTTTCTGGCACTTTTGGTGGTTTATTCATTTCAGATTGGTTGTTATCCTCTTTCTGGTTGTGCAAGGAAACAAAGGTTCTCTACCTACGCCTCGATCTTGGCTGGAACTCTCCTCTCCCAGACTCTATCATTAGCATTTTACTATACTCGTTCCAAGATATCTCCATCCATCTTGCTATCTGGTTGTGTGATGCAGTGCAAAGCAAGCAGCCAACACCATGCCTTCTCCCACAACACTCCAGCATGCAGATCATTGATAACAGTCCATTATAAATATGCAGTTCTTCCATTTCTTTTAAAATAAAATTTGCACTCTGCAAAATACATATCTCTAAAGTGCACCATTCAGTGAAAAATGCACACACTGTGCAACCCAAACCCTGCCAATACACAGAACATCACCACGGCCCCAGGAGGCCCCCCATCCCTTTCCAGTCAGTTCTACTCCCACCCTAATCCAGAAGCAACCACTCCTGTTTTTCACCATAGATTAGTTTCAGCTGTCCTAGAACTTCATGTAAATGAAATCACACAGTGTGTTTTCAAATTACTGATACACCCATAAACATGGATAAATCTCAAAATGTATAATTACATTTTATTTTATGTGGTCTTATTGTACAATAGAGTAAGTATATATCATATACTACAGGTGTTTGCATAGTACAATGCCATAATTTGTATTGCTCTCGGATGGAAGTGCAGAAAGGAGACATCATGTGGCTTGTCTGCCCTCCAACCTGCGGCCAGAGAAGAGTCCAGGTGGTGTCAGAGGCCAAAGAGAGGGCTCGTGGGGCCCTTGCTCTGGGCTGAGGGACAACATGTGGGAGACACTCAGCATGATTGAAACCAGTAGCTTCCCATAGAGACATGGAAGCCTCTGTGTTGTAGTAGAGGGACTGAGGACCTACCTGGTCAGTAAAATGGGATACTGCCCTGACTGGTGTGGCTCAGTGGGTTTGGCGTCATCCCGTGAAGCAAAAGTTCACAGGTTCGATCCCCGGTCAGGGCACGTGCCCAGGTTGTGGGTTCAGTCCCCAGTTGGGGCGTGTGTGAGAGGCGATGAATCGATGTTTCTTTCTCACATTGATATTTCTCTCTCCTCTCTTTCTTTTTTTTCTCTCTAAAAATAAATAAATAAATAATCTTAAAAAAATAAAACACGATACTTCTCTGTGCCAGGCACAGGGCCAATGCCCCAAGTGAGGGTTTGAATTCTCAGAGAGGAAGATAAAGGCATTCCTGGCCCAGGAAATAACTTAAGCAAAGGCTGGAAAGGAGGAGCTGGTGGAAAAGACAATCAGGGCATAAGTGGGGGTTGGGGAAAGGAAAGCAAGTTGAAGTCACACGGGGTCACATGGGTAAGAGGAGGAAAGAGGCTAGGCTCCCGAGGCCCACCCCCAGTCCGTCCCCTACCCCTGCATCCCTGGGCCCTGCTGTGGGGCTTACATGCTTCTCTCACATTCAGGGAAAGTATTTTGAGATCCAGTTCAGCCGTGGCGGGGAGCCAGACGGGGGCAAGATCTCCAACTTCCTGCTGGAGAAATCCCGTGTGGTTACGCAGAATGAAAATGAGAGGAACTTCCACATCTACTACCAGGTGCAAGAAGCGGGGAACCCCACCTGGGGTCTAGGGGTGGCAGGAGGAGGGTCTGTGAGGACTGGGGGACCCCAAGGCCTGAGCCAATTCAGCGCACAAGCATTGCTCCCCCTCCAGCTGCTGGAAGGAGCCTCCCAGGAGCAGCGGCAGAACCTGGGGCTCATGACCCCCGACTATTATTACTACCTCAACCAATCAGACACCTACAAGGTGGATGGCACTGATGACAGAAGTGACTTCAGTGAGACTCTGGTGAGCACCAACTGCCCCTCCAGCCCTGGTATCCTTTTGTGGATCAGGAAACCGAGTTCCAGAGGCAAGCAGGGACTTGCCCAAGGTCGCACCCTGAGGTCAGGAAAGAGGTAAAATGGGCGCCAGATGCCTGATTCTGAGTCCATGCTGTGACCCCAGAAGCCCAACCTCAGAGGACAGGGGTGGCGGGCAGTTAGAATGGTGGCTCAGGCCCTGTCCTCGGTGCCTGCAGAGTGCCATGCAGGTCATCGGGATCCCACCCAGTGCCCAGCAGCTGGTCCTGCAGCTCGTAGCCGGCATCCTGCACTTGGGAAACATCAGCTTCCGTGAAGATGGGAACTATGCCCGGGTGGAGAGTGTGGACCGTGAGTGTGGGGACTGAGGGAGGCGGGGAGCAGGCATGTGGTGGGGGTGCTTCCTCCTAATTCAGGCCCCAAAGGGTGAGAACCCACGAGGACAATTTCAGTGTCACTGGGCAAAATTGGGAGAGACCGGGCACTGGAAGAGACAAGAGCCTGACGGCTGCCCCCTCCCTCCCCCCACCCCCACCCTGCAGTCCTGGCCTTTCCTGCCTACCTGCTGGGCATTGACAGCGGGAGGCTACAGGAGAAGCTGACCAGCCGCAAGATGGACAGCCGCTGGGGCGGGCGCAGCGAGTCCATCAACGTGACCCTGAACGTGGAACAGGCAACTTACACTCGCGACGCCCTGGCCAAGGGGCTCTACGCCCGTCTCTTTGACTTCCTCGTGGAGGCCAGTGTGACAGGGGTGGGGTTGGCAAGGGAGAGGTGCTCTGGGGCCAGCCAGGGCAGGAAGGCAGGCATGACTGTTACAACCTCACCGGTTCCCCGCCGTGGGCCGCACAAAGCAGGGACAGGGTGGTCACGTGGCAAACAGAAGGCTACCTATGCCTGGGGCATGGAGCCCAGGCGTGGACTCCATGGCATAGGGGCTGTGGTGACAGAGAGGGTGGGTGTGCGTGGGAGCAGAGAGGAAGCCTATCTAGGGGGCCAGGTGGCGGACAGGATGAGTCAGGGCAGCAAATGGGGACAGAGCAGTAGCTAATGTCACCTAACACCCAGCGTGCCCCCTTTACTGTTTTACATGCATCGGCTTATTTAATTCTTAAAAAGAGCCCTATACAATCCTTGCTAATATTCACCGATTGTAAAGATAATAGATGGGGCAGGGTCAGTAAGGGGTAGAGCCAGCTCCCAAGGCAGGAACCTGGCACTCTAATGCCTGGGTTCCTCATACAAGTGCCTGATAGGGGTGTACACAGAGCCTGCACTGCGCCCAGGAGTCCAGTGGGCTGGCACTGACCTCCTGCCCCTACCTGCATCACAGGCCATCAACCGTGCTATGCAGAAGCCCCAGGAAGAGTACAGCATTGGTGTGCTTGACATCTACGGCTTTGAGATTTTCCAGGTGTGGGCTCTGCTCCCAGATGCACTCCCTATTGCCGTGGCCCCAGGAGCCTCCAGCATCAGCGCAATGAAGGCAGCCCTCTTTTCTTCTCTCCACAGAAAAACGGCTTTGAGCAATTCTGCATCAACTTTGTCAATGAGAAGCTACAGCAGATCTTTATTGAACTCACCCTGAAGGCAGAGCAGGTGGGCAGGGGCAGCCAAGTGGCCAGGGACACGGGACACTGGGTTGGAGGCGGGACCATGCTGGTTGCTGAGCAACCAGGGACACCCTCAGCCCCCATTTTCATCTCTCTCTACTGACCCATCCAGGCTCCTCTGTGAGATTTCTGTTGAAGATGCTTTCCACCTTTCAAGCTTTGACAAGGGCTGGGGAATAATGTCTTTATCCAATCCTTCAGTAATTACTTACTGAGCACCTACTGTGTGCCAGGCACTGTCTGCAGTGCCGGGGAGGCTACCATGAACAGGAAGGACAAAAGTCCCTGATGTTTTTGTACTGCCTGTCCCATAGAAGCAGAGCCTCAGACAAGGATTCAGGGCAAAGACCAGGAAGGGAGTGAGGCAGTAAGAGAGGGATCTTTTAAAAAATCCCCAGTGGGGTGTAGTAATGAGCAGGTTACCCACGGGCCACTGGGGTTCAGTGCTCCTGGGCCCCAGGCAACTTTGCAGAGCAGACCTCAGGGTGGGCCTACTGAGGAATGAGGGAGCCAAGGCACGTCGCCAGCATAAGTCTACTGGTGGCTGAGGGCTGCCAGGGTGGGGGGGGTGACACGTTCGGCCTGTGCCCCACACAGGGTAAAGGCTTTGTTACAGTAGACAGTCCTAACTGATGAGATTGTGGAGGAAATTTGGAGGGAGCATAGCCCCATTTTCTTTTTTTCAATGAAAGGGAAACATATTGAGGCTCCAGAGCCGGGGTTCAGGCAGAAGGCACCTTGCGAGTTGAGACGGTGACAGAGGGGCCTTATCGGACCCTTCTCTTGGGGCACAGGCTGTAGGTGTGGCTGTACTGTGTCTTGCAGGCAGTTGACAGTGCAGGGTGCAGGCAGGGGTAGTACTGGCAGATCATTGTGTTGCAGTTATGCTTCTGGGCAGGCTGGCGGAGGGAGGGCTCAATGCTGCCACCCCGCAGACGAGACACCAAGTGTGGGTAGGCTGTCTAGGTATTGTCACCTGACAGAGTATGGCCATCTCCAGCTGTTTGTCTGCAAAATTCAGATGCTGCAGGCAGGTGGAATGCCCTCCTGGTCTTGGACTGTAGCTCCGACACTCTCGGTTGTATCACTGGGCTCAGCCTCGCAGGCGCCAGCCCTGACAGTCCGGGTCCCATAAGATCCGAGGCTCTGCATCCATAGGGCAGGCTGTGCGCCGCCTGGTTGAAGAGAGAGTGGCAGACAGCCTCGCTTTCTTCACCCATCCTCAAGCATACATTCTAGAAATACACACACCTCTGCCAAGACACCCACCCTAGCCCTGCTCTTTTGCCACCCCCAGGAGGAGTATGTCCAGGAGGGCATCCGCTGGACTCCCATCCAGTATTTCAACAACAAAATCGTCTGTGACCTCATTGAAAACAAGCTGGTGAGAGCCAGGCCAGCTTTGGGGTGGCTCAGGAGGCCCCAGAGCTGAGTCTAGGAGGCTTGGGAGAGCCAGGAGGGAGTGGTGGTCCCCACAGGCCCCTCTCTGTCCAGGAGGGCAACTGACACATCCCATCACCCGTCTCCCCCATCCACTCTGCCCACCTGCTCGCCCTTCACTTAGTCACTCAACAAACACCGCCCGCAGCAGCCTGCTCAGGGACAGGTCCCCCAGTAGACAGCCCAGTCTGAGAAAGGGGGACAGGCAAGAATCCCTTATGAGATCCATCACCCCGCCTTGCACACCAGGAGGCTTTCACAGCAGCACTCCCACACACATTTGGCTCTGCTACCACATTTTGCTCTTATGTTTAGAAGCCACCCCTACTATGCTAGTGAAGGTCCCTGCCATGGGATTCGGGCAGGTGAGGGCCAGGCTGAGCAACTGCCACCTCCCCATGACCACAGAGCCCCCCGGGCATCATGAGTGTCCTGGATGACGTATGTGCCACCATGCACGCCACAGGCGATGGCGCCGACCAGACGCTGCTGCAGAAGCTACAGGCAGCCGTGGGCACCCATGAGCACTTCAACAGCTGGAGCGCTGGCTTCGTCATCCACCACTATGCTGGCAAGGTGTGATGCGCCCGCCTCCCCCACCCACTTCCTCTGGCTCTCTCACCCCCATCCCCCCACCTCCTGAGTGGTCCCCAGCAGGGCCTCCTTACAGAACCCAGGGGTCTCCAGGCTGCAGCCTCCAACCTCTCAATGGATGGAGTCCCCAGGGGCCCCCAGCCAGGACCGCAGAACTCTACTCACCCCATTCTCCAGTGCTACCCTAACTGACCAGGAACACAGACCCCTAGAAGCTAGCCTGGCCCTCCACAGAGCCTTCAGCCAGAGCTGCAGAAACCCATTGGGCCATGATCAAGGCCAGAGCTCCCCCTCCCCTTTGCAGGGTAGAAACTCCCTCCAAATGACCCCAAATTTGGCAGCAGACCCCCAAACTCCAATGTGAACAGTAAGCCCCACTAACCCTGTGCTCTAGGACACAGCCCACCACCTTCTGACCCCAAATGGAGATCCCAGGCCCATGCTGCAAGCCACCACCCTCCAAAATGGGCTCGAGTCCCCTGCAGACCCCTCTCCAAGACTGTAGCAATCCACCAACACCCCCGACCCTCGCCATGGTCCCCCTCCCCAGCTGACTGGACTGCAGACTCTCCCGTGGGCAGAGTGACTTTAACATGGGCAGTAGACAACCCCAGGGATCCTCAGGCTTGCTACAACCCACCAGCCCCTAAAGTGGCCTAGGGCTCCTATGTGCCCTGAGCCAGGGAATGCCCACAGTGGGGAGCCCCCACCTTGGACAGCAGACTCAGCCCACAAGCCTGGCCGAAGTCCCCCAGGGATCTTCAGCCACTGCCGTAACTTTACCCCAAAACAGCCTCCCATCCCCTCAACTGGCCACAACACAGAGGCTCTAACCTTTTAACTCCAACTTAAATAGCAGAACCCCCACCCTAGGGACCTCCTGCCTAGGCTGCAGCCCGCCCCCAAAATCTGGGCTCTAACCATCCCCTCCCCCTGCCTCTGATCCAGGCTGCTGGGACGTAACACCAGCTCCCCTCACCACTGACCCAGACTACAGGTCCCACTCTCCGATTTCACCTTAAACATCAGAACTGTGGGGACCCCAGGCCCTCCCTGGCTGCTGCCCTTGCCCCTTCTTCTGGACCACAGATATTGCCTCCCTTTTCTTACCCAAGAGCAGGACCCTCACCCACCTGGGCTATAAGCCCAGCCCCTCCTGCCACCCTGGCCTCAGCCCCTCACTACCCCTCTGCCGCCACCTTCCAGGTCTCCTATGATGTCCACGGCTTTTGTGAGAGGAACCGAGACGTTCTCTTCACTGACCTCATAGAGCTGATGCAGACCAGTGAGCAGTGAGTGGCCCTGGGCATGGGGACATCTAGGCAGAACCCACCCCTGGGGATGGAGGTGGCCCAGGGACCACCCCATCTTCCCCAGAGCTCCCAGCCACAGACTGTCGGGGTGGCTATGAGGCCAGGGCAGTATTCCTAGTGACCAGTTCTGATTCAACAGTAACACGTCCAGCACTGCACCTACAAACCCAAGCATTCAGCGCGGGCAGCATCCCTTGCCATGCAGGGAGAACACGTCATGCCCTGCACTTTTATGCACTAACACACATGGCTCTATCTCCGTGCCCACAGCCCTATGCCAGGTGCCATATTTTGGCTTTTCATACCTCAGAATTTTGTGCAAGCTATGCTCTTGGACCAGGCACCATTTGAATTTGCAGAGCTGGATGATGTAACAAGTCAGAGAACCCAGCTGCTTGGGGAGACAGACACCAAACTAGGAGATGACACAGACGGCGTCTAGCACCAACAGCCCTGAAGAGGCGACAACCATTCCTGGACCAGCCACATGGGCTCCACCCGATGGCTCCAGGGGCAGACTCCCAGGCCGCACCCCAGGCAGATGGGACCCAAATCTGGGTTTTAACAAGACCTTCATCCCACCCCCACCCATGGGGCCCATGTGCAAGTCAGAGTTTGAGGTTCACTGGTCTAGAGCAGCAATTTTCAACCTTTTTCATCTCGTGGCACATGTACGCCAATTACTAAAATTCTGCAACACAGAAATTTTTATCGATCTGACAAAAAATAGGTATAATTTTGATTCATTTACACCAGATGGTTACTGTTGTGTTGGCTATTGTCATTTTCTTATTTGACATCTAAGGGAAAAGAGATCAGTGCCCATGATGAAATAGTCACGTACCGAATGTGTTGAAAGGTCTTGCAGCACGCCTGTTGAAAATCGCTGCTTTAGACAGTGCTGTCCAATACATTCCACATCCAACAGAATTCAAGCTACACATATAATATTTTTTAATCCTCACCAAAGATATCTATAATGATTTTTAAAGAGAGGGGAAGTGAGGGGGAAGAGAGAGAGAGAAACATTGACCAGTTGCCTCTTGTATGCACATGACCGGGGATCGAACCTGCAACCTTGGTTTGTGCCCTGACCAGGAATCTAACCTGCAACCCTTTGGTGGATGAGACAACACTCCAACAATGGAGCCATGTGGCCAGGGCCATGTAATTTTTTTAAGCCTTCTTTAGTTATAATTGACATACCATGAAATGCACCCAACTTAAGAAGTGATTTTTACTACCGACTTGGACAGCCATTGTTTGCATCGCCCACAAAAAGAGGCCTTGTGACAAATTGCAGTCAATCCCCATCTCTACCACCTGTGCCATTCTACATTTTCTAGTAAGCACATTTAAGAAGTAAAAAGGCAAACAGGTAAATTTTATAAATGTTTTCTTTAACTCACTATAGACAAAATATAATCATCACAATATGCAATCAATATTTTTAAATTATTCATGAATTCTTATATTGACTTTTTCCACACTGCATCTTCTTGGAAATCCAGTGTGTATTTTAACAGAACAGTACATCTCAATTCAGACGGGTTCTCAATAATGCCCTGACCGGTGTGGCTCAGTTGCTTGGGTGTCATTCTGCAAAACAAAAGGTTGCTGGTTTGATTCCTGGCCAAGGCACATGCTCGGGTTGTGGGTTTGGTCCCAGATCAGGGCAGAAGCAACAGGCAACTAATCAATATTTTTCTTTCACATCAATGTCTCTCTTACTCTCTCTCTCGCCCCCCATCCATGCCCCTCTCTCTAAAAAATATGTAAATAAATAATATCTCTTTTAAAAATCAGGGTTCTCAATGACCACGTGTACCCAGTGGCCACCATGTTGGAAGGCACACAGCCATGGTTGTCAAAGTCAGGCTCCTGGGCCAGCAGCATCTGCAAAGAAAAACTAAGTTGCTCAAGGGAGAGAGAGTAGAGACGGCACTATTCTTCTTCTTTTTTTTTTTTTACTTCACTCTTTTAATTGTGATCAAGTAAATACAAAATTTCCGGCTTCACCATTTTGAAGTGTACAGTTCAGTAGCATGAAGTGTTGGGCAACCATCAGCATTATCTAGTTCCAGAACTTCTTCATCCTCCCCAAATGGACACTTCGTACCTATGGAGCACACTCTGTGGTCAGGGAAGGCCTCTCTGAGGAGATGGGAGAGGGAGCCATGATGAACCAAAGTGTATTTAACTGATGCCCTGTTGATGGACACAGATCGCGTCCATCTCTGGCCATCAAAAATTGGGCTACAGAATCTAGCATCTGTGTCCTGCATACAAACCTGTGCATGTAAGATGATTCCCACATGGGGACCTGCCCTTGCTGCCAAAGATGCTGCTTCGTGGGAAATATTTTCCTACTTCACTTATCTTTTTTCTAGTTTACTTGCTACCCAGGTCATGGGTGGTCATGGAAGAAGTAATAGAGCAAATAACCAAAGACCTAAAAGGATGAAACCAACCCTTTAAATTCTCAACATCTCATCCTCCACATTCAGAAAGAATGATACTTTCCAGCATGCCCTCTGGGTCTCAGGCACCTAGACGGCCCCACTTCTAGAAGAGGGCGCTCCAAGATCCAGCTGCACCTCCAGCCCCTTCTCTCCCCTTTCCCAGAGCCTTCCTCCGGATGCTCTTCCCTGAGAAGCTGGATGTGGACAAGAAGGGCCGCCCCAGCACTGCTGGCTCCAAGATCAAGGTGAGCTTTAGGGCAGGCAAGGAGGAGCTGGGCAGGGGGAGGCCTGTGATGGTCTCTCCCCTTTTCCAGGCCCTGTGCCCTGTCTCTGGCACCTTCTGTCTAAAAGGGCCTTCTTCCAGCTTTGGGGTAAGGAGGCTGCAACCAACTTCCTCAGTGACCCCTTAACTCCCTAAATCCATAAGTGAACCATCATCTTAATATTTTTTTTTATCTTTTGGTCATTTACCACTTTTTAAAAATTGTGACAAAATATACATATAACATAAAATTTACCATCTTAACCATTAAGTGTACGGTTCAGTGACAGTAAGCACATTCGCACTGCTGTGCAACCATCCCCGGCATCCATACCCAAAACTCTCTTCATCTTGTTAAACTGAATCTCTGTCCCCACTAAACACTAACACCCTGTCCCCCTCCCCCAGCCCCTGCCACCCACCACCTACTTTCTGTCTCTATGGATCTAACTCCTCTAGGGACTGAAATGCACAACCCAAAGCTGACTTCTTAGGCACACACACGAGATTCCCTACTTCCAAAATATTGATTCCCAAAAGAAAGGCAGGGATGTTCTAGGGGATGTGTTTTCCCGAGGGCTCAGCTGCTCCATCAACAAACATTTGCCTGTCGCCCACCGCCCACGGTGTGTCTCCATCTCTTGGGTCTGTTTCCAGGGTGGGAGGAGAAAGGGGCCAGAGGGTCCCATCTGTTCACCAACCCCCTGCCTTCTCCTTCTTCTCAGAAACAAGCCAACGACCTGGTGACCACACTGAAGAAGTGTACACCCCACTATATCCGCTGCATCAAACCCAACGAGACCAAGAGGCCCCGTGACTGGGAAGAGAGCAGGTGACCCTCAAGCCTGGTCTGGCTCTCAGCTTGACCAATTTGACCAGTCCACAGTGCCTATCCCCCAGACTCACCCTCCCTCCAGAACCCTCCTGGGGTTGTGGGACATTGCAGGATTACCCCAGGCTGACCCCTAGGACCAGTACACAGCCCCTCAGGGCCTCAGAGTTACACCTAGAACTTACCAATACCCCGACCCTGAGGCCCCCAGACCGACTGGAGGATGACTGAGGCACTAGCACAGTCCCGGGTCCGGGGGTCTATGACTGGCCCTAGAACCAACACAGATGCTTTCCAAACCCCATCCCACAGAACTGATTTACTGAACCCCCCACCCCAGACCTTAGCACCCAGACTGCCTCCAGCAGAACCCCTCCCACTCCTAGGACTGATGAGGCCCCCACCATGGGACTCAGGCTGCCTTCCCTCCAGGGTCAAGCACCAGGTGGAGTACCTGGGCCTGAAGGAGAACATCAGGGTACGCCGGGCAGGCTTCGCCTACCGCCGCCAGTTCGCCAAATTCCTGCAAAGGTGAGGCTCCCAACCACTGCCTTCGGAATAACAACCAGCCGAGCCATCTTCTCAAACCCTCCAAAACCTCCTGCCACCAGGTACGCCATTCTAACCCCCCAGACATGGCCACAGTGGCGTGGGGATGAGCGTCAGGGGGTCCAGCACCTGCTGCGGGCTGTCAACATGGATCAGGACCAGTACCAGATGGGTAGCACCAAGGTCTTCATCAAGAACCCTGAGTCAGTAAGTGTGTGCATGAGAAAGACAGATGGACAAGACAACTGGGTCACTTGCATGGGCTCAGGTCCTGTTCTTCAGGCCACTGTGTGACCTTGGACATGTTTCCTCATCCCTCTAAGTCTGCTTCTCCATTTGGAACGTGGAGAGAGTAACAGCCACCCTGCAGGCCTGGGGTGAGGATTAGACAGAGGAGGAAGTCCACCACACAGTGCCTGGCCCATAGTAGGTGACCAGAAAAACCTAAATTAGTTGGACAGTCCTTGGTGGCCAGGAAGCAGGTGGAGAAACATGTAGCCACCTGTGGTGACAAGCCCCTTGAAAGGAATAAGGACCCTCAGCTTACCCGGAATGTCCTTTTGTCCCTTGTTTCCTTCCTTCCCTTCTTCCTCCTTCAGCTCCTTCTTTCTCTTCGTTCTCCCATCTTGTTCTCTTTCCTCTTGTCTTCCTTCACTCCATCCATGGACATATTGAGTCCCTGGGCTTGAGTTGTGTCCAGGTGGCCATCTTATTATGCAAGGCCAGCCTCGGCCCTGCTATGTCAAAGACAAACCTCACTGTGTGGGGACAGTCCCTCCAACAAGCCCTTTATCAAGAGGCTGATAGCACCACCCACTTTCTGCTGCCTCTGATTTTAGGGAAAAACAAACAAAAAAGCCATGGTGAGTGCTATGTCCCAGGGACCTCATGTAGGGCCCAGTGACAATACTGAACAGTGCTGTATCATACACTTGACAGTCGCTAAGAGAATAGATCTTCTCATTTATCTTTAGAGGGGAAGGGAAGGAGAGAGGGAGAGAAATATCAATGTATGGTTGCCTCTGGTGTGTCTCCCACTGGGAACTGGCCTGCAACCCAGGCATGTGCCCTGACTGGGAATCAAACCACGATCCCTTAGTTCGCAGGCCCTCACTCAATCCACTGAGCTACACCAGCCAGGGTGAGAATAGATCTTTAATGTTCTCACCACACAGAAGAAATGGTGATGATGTGAGTTGATGGGGATGTTAGCTGACCTGTGGTGGTCATCATTTTGCAGTATATACGTGTATCAAATCAACTCATGTACACTTTAAGCTTCCACAGTATTATATGTCAATTATGTCTCAGTAAAACTGAGGAAAGTTTACTTTTTAATTTAATCTTTATTGTATTTTTCCCTGTTACCATTTAGTCCTCTTATATCCCCCTCCCCCTAGCTGAGGGAAGTTTTTTAAAAAACATGACATCCCACAGAAAACCAGCCAAGGAATCCCCTAAGGGCTTGCCTGGCCCCCTGCTTCTGTGTGAGGCTGGAAAGCAAACAGGGAGATGACCATCTCAACTAGCTTAACTCTTTCACCAGACTCTTGGGCAAATCCTAGCTCCCCCAATCCCACACAAGGCACACACTAGAATAGCAGGGAAAGATGTGCTAGGTATGGGGCCAGGGCAGGGCCAGCCAGGTGCCTCAGCACCTGCACAGTCATGGCACCCACTCTGCTGGTACCTTGGGTACTTAAGGAAGACAACCGGTAAGTTGTTGAGATGACTCCCTTGACGTTAGTGTACTTACAAGTAACCATTCTCTCCCAAACCAAAAACAACAGAGGGGTGGACACTGTCGGGATTTCACAACTACAAAAATAGCCTGTCTTGGGAGGCTGGAAATCTTTTTTTTAAATATTTTATTTATTTTTAGAGAGAGGGAAAGGGAGAGAGAAAATGAGGGAGAGAAACATTGATGTGTGACAGAAACACTGATTGGCTGCCTCTCGCATGCCCCCAACGAGGGACCAGGTCTACAACCCAAGCACGTGTCCTGACTGGGAGTCGAACCAGTGACCTTTTGATTTGCAGGACAACCCCCAACCCACTGAGCCTCACCAGCCAGGGTAGGAGGTTAGAAATCTTTGTCCCCATATTTGTTCATATCTATCACCTAGAGCTTTTCCTTACGGATGCACTTTACTCCAGAAAATAAAGTCTAGAATCGCATTTGAAGTAGATATTGTTACTGAAAGAAACTTAATCACAAACCAAAATTGTCCATGGCTAAAACCATACCTGAAACAATTCATTTTGTAACAGATAAAAAAAATGGAGCCCTACTGGTGTCAGTCAGTGGATTGAGTGCTAGCCTGTGAACCAAAGGGTCACGGGTTCGATTTCTAGTCAGGACATATGCCTGAGCTGGGAGCCAAATTCCCCAATCGGGGGTGCCCTAGAGCCAACCACACATGGATGTTTCTCTTCCTCTCTTTCTCCCTTTCCCCTCTCTAAAAATAAATAAATAAAATTATAAAAAAAGAAAAAAATGGAGCCAATTGGGTATCATTCCACAAAGTGAAGGGTCACCAGTTCAATTTTCAGCTGGGGCACATGCCTGGGTTGCAGGTTCAGTCCCTGGGGGTGTGTATGAGAGGCAACCAATCGATATTTCTCTCTCACATTGATGTTTCTCTCCCTTTTTTCCTCCCTCCCCCTCTCTCTAAAAGAAAGAAATAAAATCTTTAAAGAAAAGGAAAAATAGAGGGAGGGGAAGAAAAATAGGAGGGTCCACATGAGAAAAAGAATCCATCTTGCTGGTTACTGGCAGACTGTAAAATCTGACTCTGAAAGAAACAGATATTATTGATACTGCGAACAATAAACAAAACAAAGGTAGCACTGGCTAAGGCTACAGAAGGCAAATTTTTACAAAAATTGCAAGCTGCACATTTTGAGACTACACTTTGAATAATGAAATTCTCAAAGTTAAAATTTTGCTAAAAAATATTTATAACACAAAAGACTGACTGAAAAGTTGCACAGAAAATAAAAGTGATCCTGATGAGAAAATTCTCAGTAAAAATAAAATAATTTAACGGTGTTATATCAAAAACTGATCGAGGGAATAAATCAACCTAATGGAGTTAGAGCCTCTCTCAACCACAAATTCACTTATGTTGAGATGATTCTGAATTGAACTGTTTCTTGTAAACATGGATGCAAAATGTATCCTTGGACATGTTATACACCTGTTGGCCTTCACTTCCCAACACCCCAGATATATCGTTTCCCATGACTGCTGTAGCAAAGTAGCATAAACTGCATGGCTTAACCCAAAAGAAACTTATTTTCTCACATTTCTGGAGGCAAGAAATCCAAAATCAATGTGTCACAGGGCCATGCTTCCTCTGAGGACACTAGGGAAGAACCCTTCCTTGCCTCTCCCTAATTTTGGTAGTTGGCAGTGATCCTTGGGCATTTCCAGGTTCGTATTTAGATGCATCACCACACTCTCTGACTGTTATCACATGGCCTTTTCTCCTCTGTGTGTCTGGGTCCAAATTTCCCTCTTCTTATAAGAAACCAGTCATATTGGATTTAGGGCCCACCCTACCCCAATATGATTTCATTTTAACGTGATTACATCTGCAAAAACCTCTTTCCAGATGAGATCACATTCACAGGTTCTGGGTGGACATGAACCCAGTCCCCCAGGAGAAGCTCCCACCTGGGTCCTGTCTCAGCCCCCTTAGGCAACACCTACCCTTGCTGTCTGCAGCCTGAAGGAAATGCATTTTGAACTCTGTAGATAGGATGGTCTATTTTTCAAATAGAAAGCAAATCCTCTTTATTGGGCAGAAATCATGAGACTGGGGCCTCTTGTCCCATCTTCCCTGAACAGCTAAGGAGAAGAGGTTCCTATTTGACTGTCTCACTCCCAGTTCTGCTCTGCTCTTCCCTTACTCATACCTGCTCTCCCCAGCAAACCACAGAATGCACTTACATGTCCTCCAGACAACCTACACAAGGCATCACTCAGACATACTTGGCACACAGACCCACCAACCATAGGGTATTAGAGAAACAAAAGGATACCTATGTAAACCACTAGATTCCCTGCAACATATGAAACTGCACTGTTCGGGTTTTTTCCTGGTGAGAAGACCCCCCCACCTTTTATGAACAGTTATAAACACCTACAGCTTTAAAAATCCTCCAAGATAGTTTAAAGTGCATGTGAACCAAGTGATGGATATTTGTGTGTTTGAGAAATCCCTCCAAGTTAAGGGTTAATTATTTTTATAAACAAAGTCCAATTTTATTTTTAATATTTCCCATCTTCACTGATTGACAGTGCTGTTCCTTTCACCACTAAATGTATATTTGAGTTAGGATGTTTCCAAGCCATCTGTCCTGTTCCAGTTGATTGCTCTAGTCCTTGACCAGCACCCCATTGTTTTTATTACTGCAGATTTATAACTTTTCATATCCAGTGGGTTCCTCTCCTTGATTATGTCCACCTGTTATTATTCCAAATAACAGACATCTTTCATGGAATTTCCACTCCGACTTGGTCAAATGCAATTTATTTCCTAAGCCCCCTCTGGTCCAAGACTCTTAAAACTCAAAAGTCTGTTTCCTGCAAAAGCTTCCTTTCTCAGACCACCGTGTATGACCATACACAACACAACCACAAAGTCACCAGTCACGTCGCAGCCCTATACATCAGATGCTTGCTTTTACAGTTTTGTTTTTCTAAAATGCACATTGATTCACGTCTAACATCTCTGAAGTTGAGGTGCACCTCATATGAAAGGTATGACATAGCCTAATTAGCAGTGTGAGAAGTGGTGACGTTATGCTGTTTCTCTTGGAAGACCACACAGCCGTAATAATAGCCAGAGCTGGAATTTTAACCAAACCAGACAAGCTGTTTATAATTTGATTCAGGGGCTTGTGCCACATATTGGAAGGGAATCCTGGGCCACATCATTTGGAGGGAGAAATTTTTGACCATAGTATGATAGCATGTGTGCAGATGCCCTTGAGTAAGAGCATGTGGGTGTGATGGGCTCAGGGAAAACTGGAGACTGTGGCCCTGGAGAGACACCAGGACCCACCACTCCTCCCCCTTGCCTAGCTCTTCCTTCTCGAGGAGATGCGAGAGCGCAAGTTTGATGGCTTTGCCCGCACCATCCAGAAGGCCTGGCGGCGCCACGTGGCAATCCGGAAGTATGAAGAGATGCGAGAGGAAGGTGAGAGGCTACAGGTGAGAAGCTCAGGGTAAAGACATGGACCTGGAAGAGCCAGGCCACAACCTCTGCCCCTATCTTGTGTCCCCACAGCTTCCAACATCCTGCTGAACAAGAAGGAGCGGAGACGAAATAGCATCAATAGGAACTTTGTTGGGGACTACCTGGGACTGGAGGAGCGCCCTGAGCTGCGTCAGTTCCTGGGCAAGAGGGAGCGAGTGGACTTCGCAGACTCAGTCACCAAGTATGACCGCCGCTTCAAGGTGAGGCACTAGCAAGTGGGTGTGTCCAGAACCCTGGCTCCAGCCTAGCACCCCCACCACAGGTACACCCTTACCTGGTTCAGGCACACCTGTCCACAGATATATATAGTCATCTAGCCTACACCTGTCCCACCATAGGTACACCCTCATCTGACCAGGACATACCTGCCCATAAATATGTGCTCAACTAACATAGATACATCTGTCCATCAAATATGCCCTTATGTAGCCTAAACACACATATCCATCAGATGCATCTTCACCTAGGCCATCACATCTGTCCACAATTATACACCTCACCCAGAAGCCCTGACCACAGTGTCACCCTCACTTATCCTGGACACATCTATCCATTAGATACACACACCTTCACCTAGTCTAGATAGACCTGTCCATTAGACACACCTTCATGTGGCCCAGATACACCTACGCCTAGGTACTCTAATTTGGCCTGGGCACCCATGTCCAACAGGTATATCTTCACCTAGCCTGTACCTCTCCACTGACCCAGACATCCCCCTCTAGCCAATATACCCTTAATTAACCTATTTATTATAGAATATAACCACCCACACACCTTCACATGGAGAGACAGCCTCACCCACCTGACCTGCCAGTGCCAGCCCCCCCCCACCTGAAATTGATCCCTATGCCCAGGGCTCCTGCCATCATCCTCTCTGGTACTGCATCCTCACAGCCCATCAAGAGGGACTTGATCCTGACACCCAGATGTGTATATGTGATCGGGCGGGAGAAGGTGAAGAAGGGACCCGAGAAGGGCCAGGTGCGTGAGGTCCTGAAGAAGAAACTGGAGATCCAAGCCCTGCGGGGAGTTTCCCTCAGGTGAGGCCAGACACCCACCCGCCCCATGGTCACTCTCACCTGCCCCCTTTTCATTATCAGCTGTCCTCATACTTGTTACCTCATCTGTAACCCTGACCATCTTACCTACTGTCATACATACATCCCTCTCTTGGCCCTACCTGCCACCTTTACCTGCCTCCACACTCATGATCCTTATTTGCCAACAGCACCTGTCACCTCACCTGACTCCTACCTGGCCCTTCTCTATTACCACATTGTCCAGCTCCTTGCCACTTCTCCCATTTTCCCCTACCTCTGTAACTCCTCACTTGCCCCTCACTTGTCCCTCCCCGGTTACATCTCACCCTCTGTCACCCTCACCTGTCACTATCACCTGCCTTTTTTCCTGCCCCTCCCCCAGCACGCGACAGGACGACTTCTTTATCCTCCAAGAAGAAGCTGCCGACAGCTTCCTGGAAAGCATCTTCAAGACCGAGTTTGTCAGCCTCCTGTGCAAACGTTTCGAGGAGGCAGCGCGGAGGCCCCTGCCCCTCACATTCGGCGACACGTACGGCCCTCCCCCACCACCATCCTCAAGCTAATCTAGGCACAGCAAAACCCTCTCCCACCCCACGGATCGAGCAAGGATGGGGTGGGGAGTTGAACTCCCGCTTGGGAGGCGGCGCCCCCACAACTCCCTCCTCTCCCCACAGACTACAGTTCCGGGTGAAAAAGGAGGGCTGGGGCGGAGGTGGCACCCGCAGCGTCACTTTCTCGCGTGGCTCCGGCGACGTGGCGGTGCTCAAGGCTAGCGGCCGTGCCCTCAGTGTCAGCGTGGGCGACGGGCTGCCCAAAAGCTCTAGTGAGTCTGCACAGAAAGGGAGCAGAGCCAAAGGGGCGGGGCCAGCAAGCAACCAATCAATGCTTAAAAGGTGGAGCCAGTGAGGCGGGACAAGAGTGGGTGAGGGCCCTGGAGGGAAGGCTCGAGAGAAATTTAGAAGACAGGACCAATGACTGGGCGAGAAATAAAGAGAGAGCGTGGCCAACAACGCAGCCAGTGAGAGGGCTAAAAGATTGGGACGGGCCCAGGGAGCCACCGAGAGGTGGGTTCTGGACGAGAGAGACCAATCACTGGGCTAAGGCCAAATGGACCGGAGTTGAGGGCGGGGCCAAAAGCCTGATGTGGTCTAGACACAACTGTAATCCCTACATTTTTACCTTTTCCTTTCCAGAGCCTACACGGAAAGGAGTGGCCCAGGGAAAAGCTCGAAGGTCGGCCCAGGCCCCTTCCCGGGCAGCCCCCGGGCCCCCCAGGGGTGAGGAGACGCCCCCCTAAGTGTCTTCCCTTGCCTTTTGTGGGCCCCATGACCTAAACCAGACTTCCTGTCAGCGGATTTAACAAGCAGAATTGACCATGCTCTTCTCTGTCCAGAGCTCTCCACAGTTCCCCATCTCCCGTGTAACGAAGTCTAAGCCTAGTTTGGAATGCAAAGCCCTTCACAATCTGACCCCCTGCTATAACCACTGACCTCTTCTCTCCTCTCATCCTACATTCTAGCTGTGCAAGCTACATCTTATTTTGCCAACTTACCAAATTTGTTATCTCCAGGCCTTTGCTGGGTCTATTTGCTCTGCCTATCTCTCAAATTCCTACTACACTTGAGCTCCTATTCACAAGACCCACCCAAAAAAGCCCTCCACAGAAGCAGGTGGGAGGAAATCTTACCCCTGCAGAGCCTTTCTCTGGTCCCTTCTGGTCCCTCCCTCCAGCCAGTTACCATATTGGATTGAGAGTATGGCTGCTTCCTCCCTCTGACTGAAAACTTGGAATCAAATCCTCCTTGATACTTTTAGCAGCACCCTAAAAAATGTCTCTATTCTCACTCCCGCCACAGGTCTGCACCACAATGGGGTGCCTCCCTCTGCCAGAGGGGGCCCTCTGCCCCTGGAGATCACATCTAGAGGAGGCTCTCAGCGGCCCCCCCAAGGACCTCCATCTTCAGCCCTAAGGGCCAGCAGACAACCCCGGGCACGACCCCCCTCGGAGCACAACACAGAATTCCTCAATGTGCCTGATCAGGGTGTGGCTGGGTAGGTGGGGTGGGAGGGCAGCTCTAGGAGGTGAGCAGGCAGTGGGGAGTATCGAGGGCTGTGAGGAACACCTGCTATGTTCACAGCATGCAGAGGAAGCGCAGTGTGGGACAGCGGCCAGTGCCTGGTGTGGGCCGACCCAAGCCCCAGCCACGGGTGCATGGCCCGCGGTGCCGGGCGCTGTACCAGTATGTGGGCCAAGATGTGGATGAGCTGAGCTTCAACGTGAATGAAGTCATTGAGATCCTCATGGAAGGTATGTGTGTGGGGGGACAGAGGTGGGAAGAGTCAGAACCCTGACAGAACCAGGCAGCCCCCATTACCTTATATCCCTCCGGTGGGAGAACAGAGGTTGCCAGCAGGCTTCCAGGCCCAGTTAGAGATGCCCTTTTCTGAGCCAGTTGCTGTACAAGCTAGGGCTGCCCAGGAACCTGGCCTCAATTCATCACACCTAGTACCCCATTTTTGTTACCTGGCTAATAGCAAAACTTCAGAGACCCCTTGTGAGTAGTAAATGGCCCATGTCTGGATGGCCCAGGCCACTTCCTACCTAAGTCCCCTGAGCTGCCCCCAGAGGGGCCTGGGACTCAACAGCACCCTCTGCAAGTTGGGTGGGGAAGCCTCGTGGAGGTCACCCATAGGTGCACCCTCCTGGGTCCACCATAGGGATTGAGGGGAGGAGCTTGTCAGAAATGATGAGGAAAGAGTGAAAGCAAATGATCTAGAAAATGATGGAGTGTGAGCCATTGACGAAGAAAGACCATGTGGTCATTCCTCCCTCCCTTCCTCTGTCACTCTCTTTTTAGCCTCTGTATTATGCCAGGCCAGTGGAAATGAGTAAGACAGACAGTAAGCCAGCATGAAGGTTTTCTCTGGGACAGGCTGGGCAGTGCCTCACACTCTCTTCTCTCCCACAGATTCCTCTGGCTGGTGGAAAGGCCGACTGCATGGCCAGGAAGGTCTCTTCCCCGGAAACTATGTGGAGAAAATCTGAGCCATCGGCCCAGGATACTGTTCTTCTGCCTGCCAGGGAGCCAGACCCTGCTGGCAGGGGTCTCATTTCCCTTAGCTGCATTACCCAGAGGTCCAGTACTGTGGCTTCCAGCCCAGTCCAGCCCCTGAGTGCGTCTAAGGGTCACCACTGCAGCCACCCCTGGGCCCTGGCCTCCCATGTCACACGCATTTCCTCCTGTGTCACACAGGGCTAATAGCAGAGCCTACCTCCCAGCTGCCTTGTATGAAATGAGTGGTGTCCTCTCAGCATGAGGTAAAGTGGGGAGGCCTTGACAAGCGTGACCTCCCTCCTGCTCCCTTCACTGAAGCAATAAATGTTTGTTTAGTAGAAGTATGAACTGACTGAGTGCTAAACTCAGAACCTAGTGACATAGGAAGAGCAAATGTGCCGCTTTACAGATGGAAAAAAAAATGAAGGCTCTGAGGTTAAGTCACTTGCCCAAGATTCCCCAGAGCCAAGGCTTAAAAAGTTTGTTTGTCTACTTGCCAGCTTCTGGAAGCTGTATCCCAGCTTTCCCACAGAAAATGATCAGGTGGTCCTGTCAGATCTGAATCTATAGCTCCCAAACCCATCTGGGACCTGACCAGACCCTGAAGAAGGAGGCAGGTCCCCCACATGGCTCCCCACAACCCACCCTGGGCCACCACTAGTCCTTGCCCCCTACCCCATGGGGTCAGGACCAGTTCTGACATTAAAAGGCCCTGGCTTTCTGCATTTATGGTCACAGGTGAAGGGGTCAGTCTGGTTACTGGTCTCCCCAGCTGTCTCCAAACCCATGCTGAAGTCTAAACCTTTGAGAACTCCATGCATGTGTAACTGAAACCAGCTTGGAGTCCTGCCTTGGTCTGAGCCTACAGATCCTGGCTTTCCAGACGGACACCTCCTCTGTGCTCAGCCCCTCCAAGAGCAGCCAGTCTGGGAGAATGGTGGGGTCAGGACTGAGCCAGAGAGGGGACAGGGGCTGACTGACCAGCTGAGCCTTTTGTAGGATCCACATCCTCCCTCTTTTGCACCTATCTGGGGAAACTTAAGTGTGGCTGGGGGAAAAAAAAATCCCAAGTTTGTAACTGGGTCTCAACAGCCCTTTTGATAGCCAGTCATTTTACCAAAGCATTTAGCCAGTTCCTTGAATGTCCCTGGTTCCTTCCATCTCTTATCTGCTCACTCTGCCCAACCACCATTGTGCACATCTCTTGCTGCAAGACTTAGATGTGAGGACAGGCCGAGGGAAGGACAACCCACATAAGCCACCGACTTCATCAGCTGGGCGTTTCCTATTTCCTGGTGCTGAGAGGAAATCACGGCTTCAGTCTCCCTTTCTGCCCTAAACTTACCATGCAGAATGCTGCCCTCCAAGTACTTTGGGGTACAGCCCCTGGCCTCTCCACTTCAGCCATAGCAGGCACCACATATGCAGAAAGTAGGGCCTTCTGGATAGGTTGGATGAATGAGGTTTGGGGGGACAGTGAGTATAAAGGAAGGAGTGGGGTTAATATATTCTAGTAGCTTCTTACATGTAAGTGACAGCATCTGTAAACCTGTCAGCTTGCCCCCACTCACACAGCCCACATCCTGTTGACTCTTTACAAAATTTCTTAAGTCCAGCCCCTCCTTTCCGTGGGTCCCTCTCCTTTCTGAGGCCTCACCCAACCCTTCCCCAGATTGCACCCATCTTCCCTGCAAACACACTTCTCCACCCTGAATCAAAATGGCCTGTTTTTGAAGTTGTTAACTGTATTAAGGATAAACAAAAGAAAAAAATTTAAATTCCAACTGCACAAAAGTTTGAAAAATCTGCCACTCCCTCCCTTAAAAGTCGTTGTTCCCTTCCCCAGTTTCTAGTGTCTCCTTCTAATGATATTTTCTTCATATAAAAGCACATAAGTACATCTTATGTACACAGATGGAATTACATTGCATATAGTCTACATTTGCCTAGAACTCAACAGACACCTCTTGAATAGTTAAATAATGTATTATAGAACTCTGATATCAAATATCCACTTCACTGTCCCTCAATAGACCACTTTCCAAAAGACCTCCAGGGATCAGATGGTGTACCTCCTGCAACTGGAAACTCATTAGGATCTAGAGTAGAAACACAGTCCTCCCTCCACAGCTCACAAGACCCTGTATGACCCTCCCAGCACCATCTTCACTTTCTGACCTCCACACCCTGCCTCCACTCTGCTCCAGCATCCACTGATCTCATTGTTCCTTGAAAAAGACAAGCTCGTCCCTTCCCTTCCCACCTCAGGACATTGGCACCAGCTACTACCCACTCTTTCCAGCGTGCCCTGCCCCCACCACCTTCCATTGACTCATGCCTTCGTAACAGGTAACAGCTCAGAAGTCACTTCACAGAGGCTTCCCTGACCCAGCACTACCACATCCTTCTTTATTTTTTCTTTGTAGCACTTAATAAAACCTAAGACCATTTTCTGTATTTGTTGTTATCTTGTTTCCCCATTTTAAAATGTAAGTGGCCCTCGGGGGCAGGGATGTTTGTCGGTGCTGTTCATCTCTGAGCCCCCCAGAACCTAGCACACATTAAGATGGATAGGTGACTCATTTCACGCCAGGATACCAGTGCCATCCTCCTGGAAACACGCCTCTCCTGACAGCTTCTTACCTCTAGCTATTAAAACGGACCCACTCCAGTTTCAGAACTAAACGCACTGAAAATTTTGACGGCCATTGCCAATTTTTTTCCAAAGAGGCTGCCCACTGAACATCACCTTTTCCAGAAAGGAGAATCGCTTTCAAGGGCTGGTGACAGAACCGAAGGGGATGAAGATGCCCATTTTGCAGGCGAATACATAAGCCAGGATAGATCTTAATCCCAGATCTCAGCGTACAGACTTTTTTTCTTAAAAATTTTATTAGTGTAAGAGAGATGAGAAGGGAGGGGAAAAAAAGAGGAAAACAACGATGTGCGAGCTCGGTTGCTAGCGCACGCCCCCTACCGGGAGCCTGGTGCCAATCCAGCCAGGTTCCCCGACCCAGGAAAAAGACAACTTTTCGGTGTGTGGAGGAAACCCAGTTCACTGAGCCACACCAGTATGGGCTCAGCGCTTACACTCTTAAAACTGCCCTGGCCCCTGGCTTCCACGTTCGCCGCGGGTACCAGTTCTACAATCCAGGAGGACCCTAGACATCAGGCCCCGCCTCCTCACGGAGCGCCGTGCGCAGAGCCGACAGGCTCTCGCGAGAGCTTGAAGGCGGAAAATGGCGCTGACGTGAGCGTGAGCCCTTGGGCGCCCAGGGAGTCGCCACAACCTCAGCTGGAGCTGCAGGAGCTGCGGGAACAGGAAGCCTAGTCGGGCCGAGGATGGTGAGCGCGGCGCCGGGAATAAGGGAACGGTGAGCCAGCGAGGGCTGGCGGAGAGCGGTCCCGTCGCGCACACACCCTCCAGCTGACCCCGCCCCCACACCCGGGCAATCGCCCCGCCGCTGGTTGCCACTCGGCGAGCGCCCTACCCCCCACTTCCGGGCCGGGCTTCGACTTGGCCACGCCCAAAGGACTCGGGCTCCGCCCCTGGCCTAGCTGCTGCAGGGCCGTCAGCACCTAGAAGTTCGCCTGCACAGCTCTAGCCCCGAAGAGTGTGTGTGTGTGTGTGTGTGTGTGTGTGAGTGAGAGTGTGTGTGTTTGAGTGATGTCCTCAAACAATCCACTTGGGCACCCTCGACCCCACCGGCATCTTCCTATCCCAGTCCTGTTCAGAGCTCCGCCTTCACAGCATTTGTTCCGCCCACTCTCCCTAGGCCACACCCTTGCCGCATTGGGAGCTTCCCTGGTTTCCCAAGTTGCGGGTGGAAGGGCTGCTGCTTTGAAATGGGCGGTTCCTGACAGATGTCCCCTTCTACTTTTGGAACACTTCCCAACTAGCTCCTTGCTTGGGGGTGGAGGCAAATAGCAGGAACTCAGTCCACCCTCAAACCCTGTCCTCCCTTGATGATAACTCCTTAGGGTGGGGGCTAATATCTCGAGGGCATTCGCTGCTTCAGGAATGCACTGCAGCCTTGGGGCCTGACTGGCCCCAGTCAGGGAACCAGAGGGGGCCCAAAAGGGTTCCCTCTGGGCCCAGAGGGGTTCTGCCCACCTCTTTCTTCCACCAGGAGGAGGAACCCTCTGGGCTTAACCCAGACATGCTGGCCACTGCAGCAGACCCCAGCTCCAGTGAGACTGGCAAGGAAGTATTAGCCCCAGGTGTGGCTGCTGCAGCCACCTCTTTCTCCATGGAGGAGGAGTCAGGTCCGGACCAGACAGCCACACCCCCAGTGTGGGACCGTGGAGGGCTTGAAGGGGCCCAGCAAGGTTCCTCCTCAGCCCCAGACAGTGTACAGCCTGTCCCTGGACCCAGCCTTGGCACACCCAGCACAGTCTCCGGGACCAGTGAGGACCTTCGGCCTCCCAGGCGACGCCCACCACCAGGTGACCTGTGATGGGGCCTTCTGTGGGGTCACAGGCCTGGAGTGAGGAGTGCAGAGTATCTGCATACTTGGGGCTTATCTAGAGAGAACTATTTACTGAGCACCAAGTGATTAGCCAGGCCAACTCAGCCCCTGCCCTCTGGCAGCAGAGTCTGGTGGAGGAGGTAGATGGTAAAGGCCCCAGTAGGAAACCACAGGGTAACTGCCTCTCTGGTACAAAGCCCTGGAAAGCTTGGGGGTAGGGGGGCAGGCAGGAAGGATGGGTGACCCTGCTGTATATATCCTACAGGAAAGCAGATACCCTGCTCTAGCCCTGGCTGCTGCCTCAGTTTCCCCAGCATTCGTGACTTGGCACAGCATCTTCGTACCCACTGCCCACCCACACAGTCCCTGGAAGGTAAGACAAGGGTAGGTGGTGGGAGGCAGATTAGAGTGGGAGGCAGGCAGAGTTCCCAGGCTGACCCTTGGCCACCCCACCCCACTCCTCTGTCCTCCACCCCTGCCCTGCCAGGCAAGCTGTTCCGCTGTTCGGCCCTGAGCTGCACGGAGACTTTCCCCAGCATGCAGGAACTGGTGGCCCATGGCAAGCTGCACTACAAACCCAATCGCTACTTCAAGTGAGACCCTGACCACCCACCTCCTTTGCTCCTCCTCAACCAGGCCCCAGGCAGCTCTTCCTGCTCCTGCTGTGGCAGCCAGTACCTGGGGTTCAAGCCCTGCCATTTTCTGGTAGGGGGTGGTGGTGGTGGCCGGGGGAGGTTGACCTGGAAGTGGGTGTGTGATCTTGGGCAAGCCTTGCTCTTATATGCACTAGGGAGACTGGTACTTAGGGCCAAGTCCAGGGGACTGGAAAGGGTGGAGCTAACGTGGGTATGGCTCTGCCACGTCTCACCCCCAAGAGGAAAGTTGATCTTCTAAATGAAAATTGAGATTTCATCCTCATTTTCTCAGGGCTCCATTGAGGAGGGGTCCAGAAAGGTCTCCACCACAGTAGGGGGGTGCTCAGGGCAAGCTCCTACCCTGCAGGTAGGGGATTTGATTTGGATGTGAGCTCCCTTACCATGCTGTCTAGGCCAGTCCCCAGGTAGCATCCGGTAGGCTCATCCTTGGTCCTCCAGGAGATTGAGCCCAGCTCTGTGCCCACCCCAGGTGTGAGAATTGCCTCCTGCGGTTCCGCACGCACCGCTCACTCTTCAAGCATCTTCATGTTTGCGCTGAGCAAGGGCAGAGCCCAGCCCCACCGCCACCCCCAGCCCTCGACAAGGAGCCATCTGGGCTTGAATGCCCCCCCGAGTCTGATCCTACATCAGCGCCCAGCCTGCAGTTCCCGCTTCTTGAGCCCTTCATGGCCCCCACCCCTGCCCCCACTGGGCCCTTCATGCCCTACTTGAACACCACGCCCTATGACCTAAGCCCCCCACGCCTGCGCCCCTTCCTGGCCACTGCACCTGGGCTGCCAGCCTCCAGCACCGCTGTGTGGAAAAAGAGCCAAGGTAAGTGTAGTGGCAGGGCCACTAGAAGGGTGGGATGGGCTCTGCCTTTGCTGATTTCTGACCTTGACCCCATCCATTTACTGCAGGTGCAGGAGGCAGTCCTCGGAGACCCCAGGGCGGTTCCGATGCACCCTCAGGTGCGTGCAGGTGACCACCAGGGTGGGATGTTGAGGGTTTCTGTCCAGTACTCTGCTGGGCCCAGGAGATTGGGTTGGCCAAAAAGTTTGTTTGGTTTTTTTTTCCCTGTAAGATGGTTCTAGTAGCGCTTAGTTGTTTTTAACTTCATTCGAAACAATTCTTTTAGATTGTATTCTGACAGCTGTCATATAAGCGTACATTTTAAAAACTTATCAAAATTGGTGAATTTTTGTGTAGTCATTTTAATATTGAAGATGGGAGAAAATAAGCAACATTTTTGTCATATTATGCTTTTATATTATACATATTATGCTTTATTATTTCAAGAAAGGTAAAAACAACTAAAACAAAAAAGATTTGTGCAGTGTGTGGAGAAGGTTCTATGAGTGATCAAATGTGTCAAAAGTGGTTTGTGAAGTTTTGTGCTGGTGATTTCTCACTGGATGATGCTCCATGGTCAGGTAGAACAGTTGAAGTTGATAGAGATCTAATCAAGACATTAATTGAGAACAATCAATGTCACACCACACAAGAGATAGCCAACATACTCAAGTAGCCAGATCAAGTGTTGAAAATCATTTGCACCAGCTTGGTTATGTTAATTGGGTTCCACATAAGTTAAGTGAAAAAAACCTTCTTGACTATATTTCCACATGCAATTCTCTGCTTAAATGGAACGAAAATGTTCTGTTTTTAAAACAAATTGTGATGGGTGGTGAAAAGGATACTTTACGATAATGTGGAACAGAAGAGATCATGGGACAAGTGAAATGAACCACCACAACCACACTAAAGTCCAGTCTTCATGCAAAGAAGTTGATATTGTAACATGGTAGGATTGGAAGGGAGTCCTCTATTACAAGCTCTTTCCGGAAAACCAAATGATTAATACCAATAAGTATTTCCCCCAATTAGACCAAGTGAAAGCAGCATTGGACAAAAAGCATTGGAATTAGTCAACAGACAACGGGTAATCTTCCATCAGGATAACAGAAGACAGCAGGTTTCTTTAATGACGAGGCAAAAACTGTTATAGCTTGGCTGGGCTTGTTCTGATTCATCTGCAGTATTCACCAGACATTGCACCTAAAGGTTTCCATTTATTTTGGTCTTTACAAAATTTTATTAATGGAAAAAAATTTCAGTTCCCGGGAAGATTGCAAAAGGCACCTGGAACAGTTCCTTGCTCAAAAAGATAAGTTTTGGGAAGATGGAATTATGAAGGTGCCTGAAAGATGGCAGAAGGTAGTGGAACAGAAACAGTGACTATGTTGTTCAATAAAGTTATTGGTGAAAAACAAACTTTTTGGCCAACCCAATACTAGAAAGCAGCAGTGCCAGCCCTAAAATACAGGATTTTTTTCCTTAAAAATTACTAGCCTGCGCCTTCAGTGGTGTAAAGCTTGTGTTTTGCGGGTGTTCTGGGGATGGGAATGGGGGACACGGAAGTCAAATTGAATGCCCCCGTTTCCAGGGGAAGCACACCGGGGGGAAACGGATCGGTCAGTCCAGACCCTCCAACACTCTCGAGCTGATGGAGAGGTGGGGAAGGGTCCAAAATGCTCTTGCCCATGACCACCGTCCTCTGGGTGGACAGGACCTCTGGGCTGGGGCCGGGACTGACAGGGGCCCACCTGCCCGCAGGGCATGTGGCCCCAAGCCGCATCTTGTGGGAGCATACACGTGGCCGCTACTCGTGCATGCAGTGTGCCTTCTCCACGGCCTCTCGCCCCGCCATGACCCTACATCTGGAGGACCACCGCCCTATCACCCCCGTGGCCTCGTTGCCCCGGCAGCCGTGCCCCGAGGCCCCGGCGGGTAAGGTCTGGAAGTGCTGGGAAGGGGAGGATGAGGGACCCCCAAAATGAGGGATGGACTGAGGCTCAAGTGCCTCCTCCTTTGCCCCACCCAGACCGGGCCCCGCTTGCACCCAAGATGTCGTTGCTGCTCTCTGAAGGGGAGTGTCCAGTTTTCTCACCGTTCTGAACCCTGCTGCACAGAGGTCACGAGGTCATAGAGGTCATGAGGTGTGGGTAGTTTTGTAATTTTAGGGGGGCCTGAAATGGATGGGGTGGGGGGACAATAAAAGGCACAATGAACTGGCCTGTGCTGTGTCCCTTGCCCTCTGATGCACAGCAGCCTACCTAGCAGTCTTGGGCGTCCCCACCCAACTTGGGAGAGGGAAGGCCTCCCATCACCGTCCACCGGTATCCCACCTCCCATCACCGGAACATGGGACCTAGTCTCCAGCTCAGAACTGCCCACTGTCCACCTGGCAGCTTGCTTTCTTTTCTCTTTCCTTCTCTTTCTTTTCATTTAAACTACTGAGCATCAGTCGGGAAGACAGGCAGGGAGGCTTGATCCTGAGAAAGTGCTGGGACTGACCCAGCTGGAGCCCCCCAGGACCCAAGACCATGGTAACTCACGGGGAGGGGAAAGGATGGCGGGACTGCCCCTCTGGAAGGCAGAGCTGGGGCACCAGATAAGGGCACTGGCAGGCTAGAACTCAGACCTCACCCTGTCCTGCTGCACTCCCCCTCTGCCCCAGCTCTGAGGAAGAGAGTGGGTCAAGGTAAGCCCTGGGGAGCCTGGGCTCCCTTCCCTCTTTACCCCTCCCCCATCCCGATCTTCCCCTCTTGCATTTCTTCATGGGAAGTCAGGCCTGGTTCAGGGTTCAAACTTGGGCCAGGGTTTGGCCATGCTGTTGTTTCAGGCCTGCTGCCACCACAGCTTTGTGGGCTGAGCCTCTTAGGTATGGAAATCCCATGTGTTCCTGGTTCCAGCCTCTTAGTACCCTAGCCCAGGCCTCACCCTGTCCCGTTCCAGGAGCACCTGAAGCAATTTCCCTCACCTTTCCCCCAGTCTGAGGACCCCTGAAAACTAGTCTCTCCTGATTGTGCCTCTCCCCTTCCAATAACCTTCAGGGGCTCCCACAGCATTCCAAATGAAGAGCCTGCCCTAGTAGCCCAGAAGGCCTCATCTTGACCCATCCCCCCCCCCCCCATGCCTTCCCAGGGTTCCAACAACCATCTCCCTTCTCCTCTGCCTCCTGGGGAATACAGACATCCTGTGAACAGGCCTCTGCTGAGGTGGTTGGTACTCAGCACTGGCTGTGGGGCTAGATGGGCCATCCAGGGCCCCTGCACTCCCTACTTCCCAGCGGCTTCGTCCAGGAAAATGGGTGTGATGATAGTCACCCCGGAGTCCTCCTAAGGATTCAGAGAGGGGCTGGGGGAGAGGGAGGATTCTGTTTTTGTTTTTTTTTTTTTTTAAGATTTTATTTATCTTTAGAGGGGAAGGGAAGGAGAGAGGGAGAGAAACATCAATGTATGGATCCCTTTCGTGCGTCCCCTGCTGGGAACTGGCCTGCAGGGAACCATCCTGCAACCCCCGTATGTGCCCTGACTGGGAATTGAACCACGATTGTCTGGTTCGCAGGCCCGTGCTCAACGGGAGGATTCTTCACATCCTTCTGGCCACCAAGCCCCATGGCTACCTGGACCTGTTCAAGAACCTCGGGAGGAAATGGGCAGGGTCAAGGGGCCTGTTTTGGGTTTTGTTTTGTTTTGTTTTAAGGTTTTATTTATTTACTTTCAGATGGGAAGGGAGGGAGAAAAAGGGAGAGAAACATCAATGTGTGGTTGCCTCTCAAATGCCCTCAACTACAGACGTGCCCTGCAACCCAGCATGTACCCTGACTGGAATCAAACAGGTGCCCTTTTGGTCCACAGGCCAGTGGTCAGTCCACTGTGTCACACCAGCCAGGGCAAGGGGTTTGTTTTATAAATAGAAAATGTTAGGCCAGGAGGGTAAGTTAACTGAGCCCTGACCTCTAGCCAGACTCAGTTCCAAGTCATTTGCTGATTCCACACCACCTTGGAAGCTGGGCATGGTTACTACCTATGAGAAAACCCAGGTAGTGGGGTCCCAAAGACATTCTCCCCTTTTCCTGCATCTCCAGGGACAAGATTTAGTGGTCCGTGTTCCCTAGGCCCCCAACCCATCTCCAGGGTACAGGGGTTTGCCAGCCCCCAGTAGTTTTCCTTCCCCATCAAGTCCTTCATCCAGTCACCCCCAGATCTAGGTGATGCCACTTCCCAGACTCCAGAGAGACCCAGAGCCATTTTTGGTCCAGATACACCCCCACCCCCACCTCATCACCTGCATGGGTACAAAGGGTCCACAGCTCATGTTGCCCTCCAGGACCTGTGGAAGCTGCCCTGATGTCTCTGGAGGCAGGTCACTGCAACCTGGTGTGGGCATGCTGCCCACTCCTAAAACTACCTCCTTCCTCATCCCTCCCAACTCATATCCAACCCCATCTATGTGCCTTAGAAGCATTACTGCTCCCAGTGTCCCTTCTAGGCTCCTGCAGCTACAGCCCCTGCCCTCCCTCTGGCCAAACAATGACCCCACAGATGGTTCCCCTACCCTGCCCCAACTCCAGGATGCCTGAAAGCTGAGCCCTCTCGGGCCCAGCAGAGGATGCCCAGGAGTATCAGTCTGAGGGAGAATAAGAAGAGCCTGCTGACTAAGGCTAGCACCTGCCTTGTGCAACTGCCCCAACATGGGCAGGTGGAGCTAGAGACTGCCGCTTCATGTTGAACTGGGGAGCCAAGTGTCCTTGAGGTCTGCCTGGTGCCCGTCCACTGCCAGGCAGTGGTCCAGCACCAACTCTGTCACTGGGAGTGACTGCCCAGTTACCCTCACCCAGGACTGGGAGAGGGGAGGTAAAGGTTCCTGATTGAGGCCCTAGCACCCATCCCACCCCCAGCTCCGGATCCTCAGTTGCCCACATGCCCAGCCCTCCTGTTCACATGTGGCTGAACCAGAGGTTGCAACCCCAACCCCCCACATTAGAGCAACTTACACAGGGACAGGGAACACCAGCTTCTGCTTCCCATGTGCACTCAGAATGTGGTGGCCCCCCTCCCTGGACTGCAGAGTCCCACATGTTTACCCCAACAAACCCCTTCCAACACCCTCAGCTCCCCAAGGCAGACCCTGGACCTGGCTCATTTCTCCAGGCTTCCAGTTCCACAGCTCCAGATGCAGCCCCTGTTCACTGCTTCAGGCTTCCAGAAGGGGCAAAACACAAAGAGGAGAGGAGGTCATATGCCCCCTGGGGACCATACCCAGCTCATGCCCTGCAGGGGTTTGTCCATACCCAGTAGCCTTCCCAGAGCCTTGGGAGTCACTATGGTCATTCATTCAGTCCTTTAGCTTACCTTATATGCCCTCGGCCAATCACCCCTTGTTCTTTCATTCATTCTTTCCCTCACAAAACCATGGGAGAGTCAGTCTGTGACCAGCCTGGTCCTGGAGACCTAGAGAGGACCCAGACCTCACCATCCCTGCCCTCCTGGGCCCCCCCCCCCCATTCAGAGGGACCTACATCTGGGAATGACTGACGGAGCATGTCTGTGTGCGGGGATGGGTGCACAGGCATGGAGGTTGCAGAGTCAAAGCAGACAGGCAGGCATTTCCAGTCAGGGTCTGTGGCCTCCTTAAAAGGTCAGGCAAAAAAGAAGGGCTCCTGGACTTCCGGTCAAGATGGAGGCGTAGGTAGACACACTGTGCTTCCTTGCACACCCAAAATAAGGGCAACAAAAATTTAGAAACAAAATAACAACCAAAACTGACAGAAAATTGAACTGTGTAGAAGCTGGGCAGCCAAGAAGTTAAAATAGACACATTCATCCAGACCAGTAGGCAGGGTGGAGTCAGGTGGCTGAACAGAGAGGGGTTGAGGCACGAGAAGCGGTGACACTGGGTGCGCAAGGTACCCTGGGCACCCGGGCAACAGTTGGAAGACCCTGGGTGCGGGGTGGCAATGGGCAGACCCAGCAATGGGGTGAATGCGAGGCACTATGTGCAAGGCAGCTGGCTGAGCAGGTGGACCCACATTCGCATGCACATAACTGGGGAGCAAGACAGACCATGCAACCCAGGGTACCAGCACTGGGAAATAAAGCCTCAAAACACCTATTGAAAACACCTGTGGGGGTTGACATTCAGGGAGAGAAAAAAAAAAATAAAGCCTCACAGGAGAGTTCATTGGAGAGACCCACAGGGTCCTAGAATGTACACAAGCCCACCCACCCAGGAATTAGCACCAGAAGGGCCCAGTTTGCTTGGGAGAAGCAGCAGAAGGGACTGAGGTCCAACAGAGGGCAGAGTAAGTGCCATTGTACCCTCAGACCCTGCCCCTACATACAGCATTACAAACCAGCAACTTGGGTTACCCCGCCCTGGTGAATACTTAAGGCTCCACCTTTCAGTATGTAACAGGTGTGACAAGACAAAAAAAAAATGGCCGAAACAGAACAGATCAAAGCTCCAGAAATAATACAACTAAGGGACCAAGAGATAGCCAACCTATCAGATGCACAGTTCAAAGCACTGGTGATCAGGATGCTCACAGAATTGGTTGCATTTGGTTGCAAATTAGATGAAAAAATGAAGGCTATGCTAAGTGAAATGAAGGAAAATGCACAGGGAACCAGTAATGATGGGAAGAAAACTGGGACTCAAATCAATGGAATGGACCAGAAGGAAGAAAGAAACAACCAAACAGAAAAGGATGGAGAAACAAGAATTTAAAAAAAAAGGATAAAATAATTTATCGTAGAGAAAAAAAAAAAGAGAAGCTTAGGAACCTCCAGGACACCTTTAAACGTTCCAACATCTGAATTATAGGGATACCAGAAGGGGAAGAGGAACAGCCACGAGTGGAAAATTTATTTGAACAAATAATTAAGGAGAACTTCCCCAATTTGGCAAAGGAAATAGACTTCCAGGAAGTCCAGGAAGCTCAGAGATTCCCAAAGAAGTTGGACCCAAGGAGGAACATACCAAGGCACATCATAATTACATTAGCCAAGATTAAAATGGAGAGAATCCTAGAAGCAGCAAGAAAAGCAGACGGTTACCTACAAAGGAGTTCCCATCAGACCATCAGCTGATTTCTCAAAAGAGACCTTACAGGCAAGAAGGGGCTGGAAAGAAGTATTCAAAGTGATGAAAAGTAAGGACCTACACCCAAGATTACTTTCTTCAGGAAAGCTATCATTTAGAATGGAAGAGCAGATAAAGTGCTTCTCAGATAAGGT